ATGAGTACGAAGTAACCAATATAAATTGAAATGTCATAATTATTAGTCACAAGTACAAACGAGTAGAGACGTCTGCAGAATTTTCATATTAATTCATCGTATAAATGCTCTCCGTTACAAAACTTGTCTTCAGTTTGCATTTTCATTGCATTAATTCATCTCAATTATAATATTTTAGCTGAACCACTGAATCTCATATTACTTACACAAGAATTGATCACTAAATTGTCTGCATCATTGCTTATACCATCAGAATTGCTAAAATAATCACGGTTAACAATCAAGTGAAAATGTAGTTCCATTGTAAATAATTCTAGGTAAGGACTGTGAAATAAAGCAGGTTGTGTTCTTTCGCTCTCAATGATTCAATCATAACCATATCACAATTACGGATTAGCATAATATGAAGATCATTAGTAAGATTTTATTGTGTTATCATAACTAATTATAACTAGTCAAAGCTAAAAAACATAAAATCTAACAACCGTAGAATATCTCTTTGCCCTAACTTGTACATAAACTATGGTCAAATCAAGTCAATCAGAAAATAATTATTTAAACAAACGAGTTCGAAATAATGTCGTTGTTAAACTACACTAGCCGCCAATTATTTAGTACTATGCATTAATCATAAACCAAAAGTAATAGAAATAACTACTTGACATCTAAGGAGGTATAAAACACAATCAATAAGAAATAACAATTCAAAATCAAATACATTTCTAAGTACTTTCTTTTCTTTTTTGACAAACTAAATCCAATATGATCTAAGTAGTATCGGAAAAGTTTGACTTTTTGTCCTCACTATTTAATCGTTACTACTAGGCAAGAAGTTTCATCATCCACAGAATACATTTAATTAATTAAGTCTTGCATTTTTCTTTTTACATATAGAATAATAACATAATACATCACTACTGTCAAATAGTACACAAGAACCAGCTTATCGCTCAAAAACTTAAATGATAATAGTCTAGCAAAATTGAAAAAATGTTTACACTCATTATAGTCATTAAATAAATGATCAAATTACAAATAATTTTATTCTATCAGATGGGTTTTGTGGATATTATAGTAATTTCAATGGTTAAGATCACGAGTCAGTTGAATCTAGACCACCATGGGAAACCTGGAAGCCCCAGACGGCCGTTTCGTCCTATTCTGGGGCTCCTCAGCAGTGCGCATCTACGACCTCGCCCCCCTACGAGATTCGAACCCAGGACCTACTGGTTTCGCGCCCGAGCACTTAACCACTAGACCACTGAGCCGGCATCCAACGGTGTTAATGTCTAAATTTAACTAATCCACGAAATTGAGCGACACATCCACCATTGTCTTCAGCGAGTTACTATCTCACAACAGACCTAATTGAACTTCACTCGTCACTACTTCTCACTAGAACTATAAAATATACCTCTTGAAGCCAGTCACTAGTGAGCATATGTTGATTAATATCAGATGGGTTTTGTGGATATTATCGTAATTTCGAATCTCGCAAGGGGCGCGGTCGTGGATGCGCACTGCTGAGGAGTTCCAGTGCTTCCAGGTTTTCCATGGTAGTCTAACTTCAACTGACTCATGATCTTAACCATTGAAATTTTATTCCACATAAAAAAACCCACACATATTTACACAATAAATTCAGTCTTTCAATGTTTTAATTCTATTTTGTTTTTGTTTTTTTTTTGTTTTTATTCAGTAGTATCAATTTGATTTTTGTTTGTATGAATAATGTGTACAATTTAATTATTCATTCATTGAATAAGATGTGTTACTTTTGTAAAATGATATTCAACTATATTTTTTGTTTTCAATTAATTTATTTTGACACATTAATTTTACCGAATGAATAGATAAACAATCGGTGAATTTAATTTATATGTCTAATTGTTTAAATATGAATGCTTATACTGTAAAAGTTATACATCAGTCAAACAGTTAGTAAATGTTAAAGTAAGTAACAACTAATACTTTATAGAACTTTATTGTTTCTTTAGATTTGAACTCTTAAATTATCGGATCATCATTATAATCTTTTCATAGTTCATTTGATTACTGATATAACACAACTAACAAGTTCAAACTTATTTAGTCAGCTTCGAACCATGTTATTTGTGTGAGAAATAATCATTCTATACGACTGCATAAACTGGACAAAGTAGGGTTACAACCTATGACTTATTGATAGGAAGCAAATTACTCTAAAATTGAAGTCATCGTTCTTGGTAGAGTAGCTTTCATAGGTTTCTTACTGGTTTTCAAGCTTAATTTATTGATTAATAATTAGCTGAAATTCATGTCTTCAAAAATAGTTTAACACCTAACAAAACCATATAAATACTACTGTTTATCCCATCATCAGTTCAATATATATTGCCTGGAAGTGTATTCATTAGTCCGATATAAGTTGAAATGTTGACAGTAAAAATTTACAGTTGATTGATCACTGGGTGGTGATCAATGTCATGTATGTCCTTCTTAGTGCAGATCAAATCCTATCGACTAAGTTGTAGTGTAGCCACTAGTCTGAGTGATTGGACATTGCGTACACTATATTGAGATAAGATGGTGGTTGGAGGTAGTCAACAGGAAACCCTGAACCTAGGTTTCGTGCAACTTGGCACTTGTAAATAAATCTCAGTTGAACAAGAGGTTAGTCGCGGCCCGGATAGCTTAGTGATAACGTCTCTGACTGTGAAGCTGGGTGATACCGGATCGAATCCATTAGGGAGCATCAGTTCCCTCGAGATTGCAGGTACACCTTGCTGACGAGTACCAAATAGCACGAAACCTAGGTTCAGAGTTTCCTGTTGACTACCCCCAACCACCGTCTTATCACACTGAAAAGTCTGTTAATTAACTTAGTTGCTAGCACATAAATATTTCTTAATTTTCGGAAGATTTATGCCGTGTGTTGTCTGTAAATTATGATAGACATTCAAGTAGGATTTAGCCACAAACTTTATCCATTGATTGTCACATATACTGATAAATTATTTAAATAATGCTTAATTCTTAATGATATAATAAACTGATGAATTTAATTAAAACAATTAATAAACTATTTCATAATGTTTCAAATCATAACAAATTAAAATTAATTGTTTTACAAACAAATAGACTACAGTTTACTGATTATCAATTTAACCTTGATGTTTTGATTAGCCGTCATAAATGATAATCAATAGATTGTGTCCTCAATAAAGAAAACCTTAGATACCATGATACAAACTTCTAGAACATGGTGTAATAAATAACACACTGAAAATCTACTTTTGAAACAGAATATACACATGAAGTTAAGGAAAACTAGAATGGCTTTATCAGAGTTAGTCAAAAGCTAAGACTATTTGGCTCACACTCATTTGCCCGCAATTAAAATATTCTAACATCTAAAAGCTCTCCTTATTGAAAACAGCAAGTTTATATAATGGTGTCGAATGTGTATTACGTCAATAAATGTGTTTTATGGTTTTGAAACGAAGGTCAGTAACTCGTGTTTTTGTTTGATTAGATCTATCGTTTTTTAGACTATTTTGAGGTCAACATCCCATGGGTTGTTACCTTAATGGATTTATTGGACTAGTTTTAAGAGAAAACTGAAATGAGTGAACCGAATAACTGAAGTTAGCCAATAAGATTATTCACATTTTAACTGTTGTATTTCTTAGTGTTTTTAGACGAAGTACCTTTTCAGATTTAATGGTAATAATGTTTTTTTCACAAATATTGTAGTGAACGAGAACACAAGTGGAGACAATCGAATGTGTTTGAACACAATATTACAGAACATCTTAGTAAAATCTGAGAATCGTACAGTAAATAGTTCATTTACAAAATTTCAACAAATTGTGTCAAACTTGATTGTTCCTTTTGCAAATGTCAATCAATCTTCTCAGACTTTCCTGTTCTTTGATTTCCACAACAATCACTCACTGTTCTCATTCTCTTTTCTTCGAACTGCTTAACCTTCTGCCACAAGGCATTTCACTTTCGATTGATGATACATACTACTTATATCTGTCAATACCAGTAGCACACATCACAACATAAGCTTTCAATAATCGATTCTGTCATAGAATCATTATTCTTATAGTTTTTTATTAGGAAATGTCTCTTACAGGTAATGGACAGATCAGTTACCGAAAAGTAGACATTATCTTACCCTAATCTTCCTCAATACCGTCAGTTTCATACATGATTTATCATGATATTGAATTGTTTTATTTTCAAAACCGTTTCTTATTACTACGTGGATAAACATCAACATATTTAGGAAACAAGATTATGATTATCACTCAGTTAGTAGTCTAGAAGCATACAAAATAGAACAATTTTTTACAGAAATTCTTAGAGAACCCTAAATTTCATCACTTCATAATTAATAATTATGTGTGCTGCTCTGATGTGCTTTTTGGAGTTGTTTTTTTAAAAAAAATAAAGTACTTTGTAAAGTTGTCAAGTGATAATTACATGTTCTCAAAGTTTTAGAATGCTTCCGTTACAGATTTTATTTCATTCCAAATATCCTTCTTTTAGGACTGAAATTTTGTACTGATAAACTTTGTGACTGTATTGGGTTTGTAGTTGTTACATATTATAGGTGATATAATTCAAGTAATCTGTAAGACTGCAGGAAAATTGCCTTGATGTCATTGATTGATCTATAATTGATTTTACTGTCCCTCATAGCTATTTGGTACAGATGTAGGGGTGTAAACTGTCTGTCAACGTTAAAAGCTTAAACGATTTGTGTTAGTTTGTAGGTATCAATGTCAAAGTTGAACTTGATTGTTTCAAGTAAACTGAGCATTGAGTAGAACGTTTATAGGAAATGTGCTATTTATTTATTTACTCTGAAGAAGTGGCTGACATTACGTCACAAAACGTCCGAAATACAATTTTCTACTCATTGGGATATTACAATTTGTACATTTACTGTTTTGTGTGAGATTTTGGTGTGTCATATTTTCTTATTTCTACTATTGAAATTGACATAGATAATCTGTGCAAATGATTTGCAAAGTCCAAGACCATTAGAAGGATTCGGATTTTCACTTGGATTGAATGGTGCCGACTTAGATGAAAATGGTTATCCGGATATGGCGATTGGAGCAGCTTTGTCTAGCTCTGTTGCAGTGTTACGAGCTAGACCTGTAGTCAAGTAATCTCCTTTAGAGTGAAATTGTTTTACGGTTTTTTTTATTTACACATTAATTTTTTATTACACATTAACGTGAAATAACTAGAAATTCTCAAATCACGTCTATCTTTGATTTTTAGGATCTAGGTTTTCAACGTCTATCCAAAAGTCAATGAAGCAATTCACGTTATATGCTCTTGATATTTCACTTAATAATTTAAGTAAAAATTTATATTAATATTCGTCAAGGTTAGAACTAAAAGTTTGACAGAAATTGGGCGCCGAGTAAAAATTGCCGAAATTATTTTGAAGCTTAGCTATATAAACTTAAAGTTTATGGTTTATCCTTACATTGGATGTACTTACTCTCAATAGAATTTCAATATAAACTCAATACATTATTGACTTATGATGTAGGGTGTACGCGAAATATACAATATTTGACCAGCTTCAAGAAGGATTTCTTAGAATTTTAGTGAGAAGCCGTGACCAATGGAGTCCAATCCGTGTCAGGTGTGAGACAATTATCCACCTCAGATAATGTTTGAATGGTTGCGCAAGATCATGGATCGACTGAAGTTAAACGTTAACAGTGTTAGACACCGGCCCAGTGTTTCATAGGTTAAGCGTTTGCGCGTGAGACAGATGGCAATGGGTTCGAATATCAAGTGCAGGATCGCTGATGCGCACTGCTGGGGAGCCCCATACTAGGACAAAACGGCCGTCCAGTGCTTCCAGGTTCTCACTGGTGGTCTGTCTGAGATCGACTCGTGAATTCAACTATATATATATATATATATATATATATATATATATATATATATATATATATATAATTGATCTCTACAGTTTAGTCAATGAAACTAAATGACTATGTGACCTTATCATTCCTCTCTCCTGAGTCATATTCTTAATGTTCAGTCTTTCTCACTATAATTTCTACTAAACTTATCTCAAGTTCCTTACTATTTACTCTGCTAATTTCATTTTGTCGAAGCGATGATGTATGGTAACTTAGGCTAACCACCATGGTGATAATCAATAACTACAATTGCTTATTCCTGACTTCTCTCAATATGGTATACACTGACAATCTGATGGTTTTTTATCTGACTGGTTACAAAATAAACGAATTGTCAAACGACATTCCTTGTTCCTGCTAAATGGTACAAAACTCAGCCACGAATTTTATTGTATTACATATATAGTTTTAATGGTCTTTCTCGATGTTAGAAAACTTCAATTTAAATCATTCAAGCACTGCTGTTAGATGACAACAGAAATTAATTGGATAAGTGAATTACAAAGCTTAAACATTTTCTTATAGATAAATATAGAGCTTGTGAGATTGTATTACATTCATCTACACTACATGAAATTGGTCTTTATATAAAGGATTTTTATTCATAAATCAGAAAATCATTATCAGTTTATTCTTTCAAGAACAAAAACGGCTAACTGATAGTTGTCAGTTGTTGGTTTTAGAATGGTAAATACACATTATGGAAAACTAAGTACTTCTATTTTATTTTTAAATGAATCATTTCTATTAATAATCATATGTCCATTAGTGACTAATTTCAATAATTAATTCTCGGAGCTTTAATAGAATAGTCTAAAGGTCATGAGGTTGGAGCGAGACCTGCAGCCTCTAATTCTGAATCCCAGTGGGGTCCTAAATAGAAGAGTGCCATTTTTGAAAGTGATAACTTTCTAGTGCTTCCTAGCATTCAACAGCTATTTAACTGGGATCAGTTCGTGATGTAAACTATGCAAAATCTAATCTCGATTGTTCGAAACATTTTATTGAGTGTATTCACTTAAGAAATAAATGTTGCTTGAAATACAGTCAGTCAGTCCATCATTTCTGTATAGAATTCTACAAGATCTACTTTTATGATTCATAGTTTCTGGATTGACATAAATCCCCACCAAGAAATCTCACGCTGAAATTATTAACAGTCATTTCAATTGAAAAATATCTTTTTCAAATGTTTCACTGTTTTTTTTCTAATTTCACTATCCATATATTATTAAAGTATTTTTGTTATTTATGCAGGCTAAGAGCATATTTAACATTAATAGATGGTAGTACTACTCTGCCTAGTTCATTAAATTCATTAGTGGATTGTACTCATGAAGCTCAATCAATTACTGGATATAAAGCTCCGTCGGCTAAATGTATTGATATGAAATTAATTCTCACATACACCAGTGTTGATGGGTAAGTTACAAATACTATATGTATTATTCATTTAATAATTAAATATATCATTTAATTATATGTATAAACTGTTCATTTACCTTGTTTAGTAATTTTTTGTGGAAATCAATGAAATATCACACGTAATTGGAAATAATAATAATAATAATAATAATAATAATCTCCACAACCCCTATACTAGTAATCAACATGTGCTCACTAGTGACTAGCTTCGTGAGGGAATTCTCGGAGTTCTAGTGAGAAGCCGTGACCAGTGGAGCTAATCCTTGTCGGGTAGAGACAGTTATCTACTTAAGTACGATGGAAGTTGGTCGCGCAATTTCGTGGATTGGTTGATGTTAGAAACTATCACCATTGGATGCTGGCTCAGTGGTCCAGTTGGTTAAGCGTTCGCGCGCGAGACCGAAGGCCCTGGGTTCGAATCCCGCTCGCGGGATCGTGGATGCGCACTGCTGAGGAGTCCCACAATAGGACGAAACGGCCGTCCAGTGCTTCCAGGTTTTCAATTGTGATGGTCTAACATCAATTGGTTCAAGATCTCAATCAAAAACTTAATAATCTCCACAACCCCTATACTAGTAAATTACATCAGTCTATGAATTCCGTAATCGAGTTTTCCCTCCTTTATTGTTTGATGGCTTTTAATTCTTCTTCTCATTCCTTTGAAAACATTTCGATAATTAATTCAAATAATGCACTGAATCTGATAGAATTTTGAATTATACATCACTTTATTTATACATGTACATATACATATTTTCAGTGTTCTATAGAAGAGATGAATTCTGTTTATCAGTGGAGTCTTGGACGCATGTTTCGTCCTATTCACGACTCGTCAGATTAAGGTACTCACATAGTAGTTAACATTCACTGTGGGATTCTAAATCAATATCTTCCTCTTTAAACTCCCAAAGCGTTATTCTCTTAGCCGTTGAGTTCAAGTAGTTACTCATCTCAAAGCTGGCATACAGGCACTTTCAGATGATCAGTTTTAAATAGGATGGAATGCGCGTTCTAGACTCTATTGCTAGCCATAAACCATATTTTCTGTGAATTTTGTGACAAAATGTTTATATTCAAACAATCCTCACAGGATCTACATATCGTGACTAAAAGTGATCAAAATCCAGTCAATAATATCATGATAAGTCTTGCGAATTGAACGCTATATTCGTTTCCTAAGCTATATCTGTAACTATACAGCGACCTGAACAACGAGAGAGAGGACCCAAAGTATGCGGGAAGTACTTTACTCCAAGGTTCATTTCAATACAGAAAATACAGGGTTTTTATAATATTTTAACTGTCCTTGGGTTGCTAGAAGATTCTGGAATGCTACTAAACATAGTAGCAGTGTAGCAACTAACCAATCAGAACCTCTGCATGTGACGTTTCACTTCCTTGATATTTTTAGCTAAAACTTCAAGTGAACGCTGACTGGATGGAACGCTTCTTAGTGTTTCCTGATGCTTGCTTGTCTTTTGCAAGAAATCTTCTGGATCACTCCAACATATCAACAAAAGAATAACACCTAAAACACTGAAAACTTAATTTGAATTTTCAATCGTTACTTTTATGATGCATGACGTAATAATTATTTTAAAAAATGATGCGTTTCTTTCTGGAGAAAAGATTAATATAAAATCACCACTTGAAAAATCAAGGCATTTTTTTATATTCTCCAAAATACTCGTATATGATAATCAAACTGATTATTACCTATTTAAGAAACGTTAAAATCCCCAAAAGGAGGTAATCTTGGTCACATTAACGTTTTTCAGGTGTAAAACTACTCATTCAGTCATTGAATATGTGTAGTTTCGTCTGAATGTAAAATTGAAATTCTTATTTGTTTTATTTGTGTTGCTTTTCAAGTATATTATCTAATTTGATACTAAAAATTATACTATCAACTTGGTTTAAAAAGAATTTTAAGAATAATATTTTCTGTAAATAAGAACTATATGTCATCACCATACCCATGTATAAAATAGTCGTCACTATTTAGCTAACACAAAAGGATATACAATTCCTATCAAAATATTACAAATAGTCAATTATCTTACTCGGCTTTCATCATGAAACGTCATAACTCTTCTCAATGAAAAACTTCTAACTCCCAGGGCAGAGTTTAAATGGTTTGAATTGTTTTTTTCTGTTTAATGTCTTTTAATGAGTTACTTTTCTATGGGATGGGGTCGCTAATCCCATGCCTAACTCTCCTCCTTTATCCGAGTTTAAGACCGATAGTAGTCCAAGAGGGGCTCCAGGCAGAGTCAAACAGTCAATTATCAACGAAACTATTTTCGAAACTATACATGGAATGATTTTAAAAAATTTAGTTTTCGAATGTTAAAACATGTTCTACAAATAATACTTTGATAATTTAAAGCATTTTCTCGCAACTATTCATTGTTTAAAAAATGAAGTTCATTATTTGTCTAGTTGTCTTATGTAGGTTTACAAAAAGAAATACATTCCATTCAAAGCAGAAAGTATTATTATTGTTATGCTTATTATTGTTATGTGCTCGACAAAATTCTTTAAAATTTTCAATAATCTGTTCTGTTTTCTAACTGACTGAATTAGAATACATACCTATACTACTTGCTGGTGGTACCTTATTGATTATCATCAAAAGCATACTTAACTGATGGCGCAATCAGGTTTCAGTTAACAGCTATTGAGTGCTGACAATCTTAATCCTAAATTTCAATTCAAACTCCGAGTCTCAGGCCTAAATTCTAACCCTAATCATTTTACAGTTTTTATGAATATTCAAATGTATTATTTGCATCTTCATTACTCAAAATCATTTCCAAACCATTGAGGATCATCAATAAAGTGTACTTTTGCACGTTGATCTTTAGGCGACCCGATTAGTTCTCTTCAAATTTTTTAACATAATTACTTAGTTTCCCCTAAAACTTGACCCTATACACTTTAAGTAGTAAAGAAAAAATTCACGGTTTTTTCTATTTAAAAATTATTTGAAATCACAATTTTCAATAAGTTTAAAATAAGCTCTATTTCAATGAATAAATTTTTAGTTCATATTCTCTATGATATAAATGTCCAGTTATGTTATGGAAGTAATTTGTTTTCTCAAAAGCATACCCTGGGATGCAAGTACATCCAGTTGACGAGTCCTAAATAGGACGAAACGCGCGTCCTGAATCCAACCGCTAGCCACTATCCTTTGAAAGTAATGAAATAGATATCGAATAACAAAACGTATAAAACTAGAAAGAAAGAAATGGAATTATGCAAAGAATAATAAAATGAGTATTCTAAAAATTTAAAGCAACATAACTGATTTATGCAAATATTCGTCAATATTAAAACAAATATTTTGACAAAAATTTGCGTGCCAAGTATAGAGAAGTCATCATATATGAAAATTATATTTGAATTTCAGCGATTAAAATTTAACTAATTCTAACGTTTCGTCTACCAAACTCGTCTAGACTTCTTCATAGATTACATAATTCTCACATCATAAACCTCAGTGAATGAAATTATCTTTTCTGTCTACCGATTTTAAACTGTTATGTTGGGAAATCTGATTATTTCCTTCATTTAGAAAAGAGAAATCTAAACTGTGTGCTAAAATTTTTCCCCATTATTCCCTTGACTGATTTTTTTACTACATGACATTTTCACAATTATTTCATTCTCTTCTTTTATTTTCATTAATAATCAAAAAAAAATTATATTTTTAGGAATCATCGATAATAATATATGCAGTTAGTGATAATTTATAATGAGTTAGTTACTGAGTAGTGACCAATGTTAGTTGTGACCCGAATAGCTCAATTGTAACGTCACATTCTATGTAGCCAGTTACATTTTGCTGACGAGTGCCAAAAACAGCACTAGCAGAGATTTATTACCTCTGTTGAGGTACCTATCAAGTAGATTTTGCTTAACATTTTGAAATCGACTGAATATATTTCTTGAAATGATTTTGCTGTCGATAATGACATTTGTCTCAATAAATTGTGAAGCGAAATTTATTACCTAAGAAACTTTTCTTCAAACTGAAATTAAGAATATACAGTTCATATTTAAAACAATAATCTTAAATATTCATGATATGATTAGAGAGCATGAAAGAAAGTCACTCTTTCATTCATAATCAACATTAGGTTTGGCATAAATATGAGTCAGTACAGTGAGATAAAATTAGCTATTTAGCTAAGTAGCCCTATTAGAAATAGTAACAGTGGTAATAGTAAACAATAAACAATCAAGAATATACTTCGGAAAGAAAATATGTTTAGAGTGGATATAGGTGAGGCATTGGTAGCAGTTCCAAAGCATGTCACATAATACCTTTAATTAATGATCGCAGTTATCTCGCCAACTTCAGCTACATAGTTTGGACCTACCTGTATAATTCAATTTAAAAACCAATCATTTTGCTTGTTAATGCTACACCTTTGGCATATAAAAACATGTTTCATATGTTACACTAATTACTAACTTCAAACATAGATGTTCAATTGTAGCTCACTATTTCTTTCGACATTCTGAGCAAAAGTTCTTTTTCTTAAACATTCCTAGAGTAACTGCCATCAAAAAATGATATGACTGGATAGTTACTTCATCTCAGCATGAGGTTTTCCAACCAGTGTAAATTCACCATCCCTACATGAATTCAGATATAGGTCTTAATGTCTCCCATTAAGCACTACATCGCATAATCAATGCATCGATTTCACTATAAATTTAATTTTCACTCTAATTTTGTAAACGTTATTTCAATAAATAATTGTTTATTATCATTTTATTTAAACAGCATATCTTGTAGTCCACATAAAACGTATCCAGTATCAATTTTATTGAAATACAATCCAACCAATGAATGGATTTCAGAAGGTTGGGATCAAAATTCACAAAATCATCCACCAAATTACGAAAGTAAATGCACCTATAATCAATATTCAACTATAATTTCCAAAAATATTATGAAAGAATTTTATAAAAATTATACTTTATCACCAATTGTCTTTATACGAGAGAAAAGTTTATCAAATAGTGAAATGATTGTTAAAGATTATTTTAAACGTAATGAATCTGCTTATCTGACGGGTTATGATAGTCCTGGTGGATATTTACAATTAGAAGGTAATGCTTTTTGTCGTGATCTACACAAAATAAAAGAGAATATACCATTCAATCAAGATGAATTGAATTTAGCTAGTACATTACGAATAATATTTCGAGTAAGTTTATCCTGATGAAAACTTGTCTGCTTGTTATACACATATTTGTTTATGTTCCATCTAATGCATTTGAATAAGTTTGTGACATGGTTTACACTTCATAGCTCATCAAATAAAGGGAAATTATAGGGAGCTTGAACTTAAGTATTTACATGAAAAATCTGTGTAAAAGTCTACAATGTGAAATTATTTACGAAAAAAAATTTTTTTAACTATACTGTATGGTCAATCGTCATTTGTCTTCATCATGAAATTATGTTATATTTTCCGTGTTTAACAAAGGTACATTTATGATTTTAATAAACATAATAAAGTATTGAAAAGTGTCAGGTGGAAGAAGAAAAAAACGAAAAAGAAACCTTTTCTTGATAGTATGTCTAAGATTTAGTTCATTTTGATTCTACTGAAAAAAATGACTCTAATTATATAAGTTAGTCAGTAAATTATAATGATAGAATTCAATGTACTTAATGGTTAGACGTTGTAACATGATTACCTTATTTATTACCATTTGTCTATTTAACTCAAATATATCGGATACAAATTACATAGAATTTGTTGGGGTCACTAAAAAGACTAAGTAAGAATGTAACCTCAAACCTACTAAGAACCCAATGCAATAAGAAGTTCATCCGTCATAAAGTATTGTATGTAACCCATTTTATAGTTTCCGTTAACTCTTTATCTGTCTAGGATACATATTTGATTGATCAAACTGATCGTTTAAAAATTGGTGTCAAATGGATTGCTAAAATGACTGAACCATATCCATTAGCTGATCAAATTGACGAGTATCCTGTAGCTGATCCACGTGCAAATACTGAACTACTTCAGGTAAAAAAAAACTAAAACATTTTAAAACATTTCTACGTAATTTATACATAATATATATAACGGTAGAAATCATTATTCAATAAAGAAAACAATTGGGCGATAATGTGTTGAAAAATATCAAACTTTCATCTGTGTAATTAGTTGACTGATTATTCGAAAATGCAATAAATCAAGCACCTAGTTATTTAGATCAAACGTTAACTGAAACGAACTAACGGATACTTAGTTCACTAATAATTTTTAATTTGCTAGTTTTCGTTTAGAGTTTTATATCCCGTACTAATAATAGCTAAACAACGGTTAAAAAAACATAAGACAATGAACTTTTATTTTATTCAAGTAGAATACTCTTTAAAAGTGAACACACAACTAGACATGAGATTGAGCCTAGGAACTTCAAGCTTTACATATTTATTATGAAGGCTCCCAACAATATTAAAGTATCTCATTGTAATAGAAAACCAAAGTATATCAAAATTAAAAATCAATTGTAGTTTATTTACTATGAATAAGCCAAACATATATAAGGATATAACGTTCGATTATGTAAATACCCTTATATTCACAGTTCAGTAATTATAAAGAAATAATGATCAACCATTTATAAATTGCTTGACTTATAACCCCATATCACTATCTTGTAGAATTTAGGTAATATGGGTAAAAATATTTACTCCTAAAATGATAGAAACTCTTTTATTCCTGTTAAGTAGTTAAGAACAAACCATTAGATGCCTTAGAACTAGGTTTTTTGCCAATTCTGATTCGTTAGTAAGGTATTACTGCAATCTCAGGGTAACGGGAGGTTCTTGTGAGATTCAAACTTATATCATCAAACCTGATAGTTATTACAAAAACAAAACATTAACATTGATAAGATAATATGCACTCTTTTGGCATCTAATTGGAAGTTCACATTTTTAATTAAACGTTATTATATACAGATTTATGTTATGCTGAATAAACTGAATAGTAAAATAACATTTTATTTCGAACTATATTTGTTTAAAGACTAAACTACGAAGCCCCATAGCTATCATAGTTACAATTCAAATAAGCTGATATCTAATGATTATTAGTTTGAACATATACTGCTAACAACAAAACACCTCTAAGTTATTACATTGCTAATTTTAGTTTTATTACATGTTTATATTCGCTTTTTAGAATATTTTTCTTAAATACGAAATTAAATCATCCTAGTACTTAGTAGTCCTCAGCTTTTCTACAGACTTATTTGTTGAACTATACGATGCTTCATCTTTTCTTCTAATCATCAATTTATACAACACAGTACTCAGGTATAATTTGGTGGAGTTACACAAATCAATTTGTCACTTAATTATGGTTCCCATTTCAGAATGAAATCAACTGTGGAGCTATCGAAAGTTAAATTGACATTTAAATCCATAGTTTAAGTGGTTTAGATGTCATGGGACATAAATGTTCTGAATTGCATATTATGTTTGAGGTGGTGAGTATGAACTACTAAGGAGTCACAAACAAGGACCAAAAAATACTCAATTTATCACGAATTTCGATGGTCCTCCAGTTGAGATCAACCAGTAGTTTTTAAAAATCTCTGTAACTCAACATTTTGTTATTATTAAGTCAATCCTCGACAATCATACTAATATCTTTCAATTATTCCGAAGAACGAGTAATTAATAGAGGTTCTCTACATTAACAGATATGTGTGAGATAAAAGTTGCCGTGACTATAAGGCTTATTATTTAAGTTTAAAACATCTGTTGCTATTATAAAATCTATTTATGTAAAAAATAAATCAATCACTTTATAAATCAAGATACAATGTACATGGCTATGCATTAAAATCCAGAGTGCATGTAAGGCTAGTCAATTGAATGTATCTAGAACCTAATATTAATGTATACATTAGAACTGAGGCATAATAATTTTTCCTAACGCGTTATCCACTGAGTTCTGATAGCCACTAATTTGTTTGATGCATATGTTAGTAGTAATAGTTTGAGTTATCCCACTGATAAAAAATGAGCCATGTCAGGGTAAACCACACAAGATGCATATATACTAATGAAAACTCATCAAAATTCAGGTTCTACTATCAACAATGGGATAAATCAAACGCTGACAACTAATTATATCAAAATACTCTGTCATACTATAACAATTGTTTCAAATAATTCAATATTACGATATATATATAGTTCATAAATTCAAATTCTTTTTTAATTTGTAATGTCAGATATCTTTTGATAATCCCTGTGCAGTTCGACAATGTTGCCCAACCGTAAGAGTTAGTTATAATGTGAAAGTAACCAGGTAATTGATATATTTGTATTTATTTTGCAAATTATGTACGTTTTCAAACTTTATTTCACTCTCTTTTTGAAATAAACATAACTCAGTTAAAACTTGGTATTTATTTTATGATGGAAGCTTACTGAATTGTTTTCCTTAAATAGTCAAGACATTTTTTTTCCATTATATATGTTTATTGGAAGCATCACTGAATGAAATTTTCATTATATCTTGGACGAATTATTTTTTTTCTCGTAATTCACTTTCACTCGAGAAAAAATCGATCCACTCTAGAAGAAAACATCAAGTGAAATTAATCTACTTTCATCGTGAATCTAATGAAAAGAGATTGAGGTAACGAAATAATTTACTACCTGAGTAGTTTTCATGTCGGTCAACATCAGCCTGTAAACTCAACATCCTTCTTAATCGACCTGAGGCCTCTTGACATTCTTAATAATCTAGGACTTCACTTAAATTTATTTCCTTTACTAATAATCTTCTCGAGTTATCAAACCTGTGGAAATTTCCACGTTGAATCCTTTCAATCTGTTCTTGGTTGGAATAATTAATTTACTTCTAAATAAATTACTAGTTTTATTTTGGGGCTATGGATATTAGTGAATTTCATTGAAACCATAAATCGATCAATGTTAGACCATCACTGAAAACCTAAAAGGACTGGATGGCTGTTCCGCTCTAGTATGAGACTCCTCAAAGACCCTGCACGCTGGGTTCAAATCCAGGACCCTCGCTCTGGCGCTCAAACGTTTTAGTCTCTAAACCACTGAGTTAACATCCAACAGTGTCAATGTCTAACATCAACCTGGTTGTGGATGATTTCAATGAAAATCAATACCTACAAATGAAAACATTTTATTCACATGCTGGTGATAGCTTTTTTGTCTCATACTCATATCAATCAGCTTTTACGTTTTAATAACTCAAGTCATCGTTTCAACTTATTCTAGAACTATTCAACAATAGTTAATATTAATAAATGTTTATTTAATGGAACATGATAACTGCAATCTTTGTAATGATTATACTCCTTCTTAAAATCATTCATATTTTCAATTTTATTTAATTTTAACAATGAAGGGAATTATTCTTTGGTTTAATTTGAATTGAAACAACTTAGTAACCATTTTAAAGATGAAACGTGTTAATTAATATCAATATTTGATTTATGAGAGAGAGAAAAAAAAGAACTAAATTTTCTAGTTCTTGTTCATAATGAAACTTTAACTTAAATTACATGAATTAAACAAGAAATAATTTTTTGTATTAGAAGTAACAAATGTGTTCAATTGAAATTACCGTAAATATCATAATTAAATTACATATTGAATTGATTGAGAAATAGATCATTATTTGAGAGTAGATTTTTTTCACTACATCCTTCATTGATTCAATATCTAACAGATAGATTCATTTGAAACAATAGTATAATGTGTAAGATATCAGATTGTTCTATTATTAAATATTCGATTATCATCATGAATTATACGATTTTTTGATTAAAAATACACAATCTAGTATGTAGGAGAAAGACTGGAACCAGTATGTATCACATGATCGACTGTTCTATCTAACCGAATAAGTCTTATGATTATTATCAATGAAATCTTTTCATCAAACTATTCAAAATATTTTGAGTGACAAATAAACCTACTCGTACTTTTATTGACTCAAAACAGAGTCTTTTATTTGCGAATATACATGCACAGAGAATCATGTGAGATATCACTTGTTGTCCTTAGTGTTATTAATATACACTAATACAACACATAAATACCTTATTGGCTAGCTTTTCAACTGGAATAACATAATAGAATATAATTCTGGTTTTCATGACGTAGTCGTAATATTGCTCGAAATCAACAACTTTTCGACAATAAGAACTGGATGAATGCAGTCAACACAAGGCCCTGGATGTAAATTTTCCACTAATTAGCACCTGTTCACAAAGTGTACCAACTTTCTCATCGAAACCGATGTTCTATGTAAGATTCGAAATCGCATCTTCCAATATTGAATGATATCAATAACTAATAATAGATGAAGCGTTTCACCATGTTAAATATCTGTTAGCTACAATGCAACTTGATCAATAGAATTTATCCAACACTAAAAACTAAACAATACTATATTTTTACTAACATATGTCAAGCCTTATTGATGTGACATCTAAATGTTCATTCACTCTTAAAGTGATATATCTAGTTGAATGAAAAATTTTAATATTTTCACTGTGTTGTAATTACTATCTGTCAGTTGAACGTTGGAAGCAAATGGATACAATCAAAGGTTAATTACAAGTAGAACAAACACCAAGTGAATTTAAACATTTATAGTTCAAAGTCAGAAAGGTCCAGAAATCCCATGTATTCTAGAAGGTAATCACTTATAGGTGCCGGACCCTTTTTTGATTTCGCTGTATAAGAGATCACAGTACTGGTGAATACACCCGAATAAATCGTAGTAATATTTGTGGACAACTTTTTACGAATATGATAATAGTTGTTTGTTGCTAATCGATGAATATTTTCCATTTTATGCGCGCGCTTATATAGGAAAATATGAATAGTGTCTACTTTTAAGAATCAACTCGATATAATGTATCTGAGCTAAAGTTTACGAAAACTAATCTAGTTGTGCAAAATCCAGTTTGTAAACCAATGTGACTTTACTTTCAGTACTGAAATCAACAAGTCTAGTAAACAGATATGAAATAGACCATAGTGGTTTTGTTCTAAATCAACCAATACTTCTCGTAGTAAATACTTCAAAGGATATCTGAAACTAAAGGTATTTTTAATCAGATTATAAACTTTACACAATTTAATAATCCGTGTATAAGCGAACCTGTCATTTGCCATTCTCAAATAATTCTTAGCAATAATCTCTTCTCTTTCTCAACTTTCTCATGCTATTCTAGAGATAAAAATGGACCTGTTGTTTATGTGGGTGATGATAATAATCAAACAATTGAATTATCCGTTCGTGTAACAAATATTGGCAATGATTTAGTTTATGCTACTGGATTAGTCAGTAATTTTCTACCAAATTTATTGGAACTTGATTCAACTGTAAGTTGTACTGTTGATTTTACTAAAAAATTAAGTGTTCTAACACATAATAACCACTGAAAGATCAATAAAGTAATGTATTGTTAAGTTTCAATTAAAGAATGATAATCTGATCCTTCCTAAAGTCATGACTTCTGCGTAATCTTGAAGACATTTACACTAAAAACCAAAACAATTCTGTTCAAAACCTTACAAAAACGATGTTTAATCGTAAGATATATCTCAGTTGAAATGGTGGAGAAGATTTTTAGCTCAGGTAAATGATTTTGATAGAGTTTTGTTCTCTGAGCCGAATGGTTTAGTCGTGAAGCTTTCATCATTTTTCTGAACGACATCATCCACACAAACTTTAGATAGAACAAAACTCCATGAAAATAAATCTCAGTTGTTTTGTTGTGTTTCGTTTCCTATACTTATTTAACACCTACTCTATAGATGTATTTGTGATTCAAAGTTAATTCAATCAATTTAGGCGTTATTTACAACATCGATTTTGTTTCATAGTATTCTCTATACACAACAAAAGTGATATTTTATTAACCGAAATGATAATAGATGGATACTAAAAGCGTATCAAAAAAAAGAATTTTATGATTATTTCCATTAGTGACTTCATTAATAACGGGTTAGACGAATGTACCAGAAAAATTTACTCGAAACTGGATCATTTTCAATAAAATGCAAATGATAATATCAAGCAAAAATGTTCCACACTTTTTCTTTGATTTATAGTTTCTGATTAACTCGAATAGTAGATTATATTCAATTGACAAGGGTTAGAATCACTAGAAAAAAAGTCAGTATTGAATGATCATTTATTGTTTGCTATGACTTTTTTTATAGCATAATGAGTACTAAACTTAGTACATAAATAAGGATAGACATTTTAACTCTTATGGAAAGGTTACCTATCAATCGAATAGAAACCAAATAGATAACACATTTAATACTTTATTAATTTGTGACATACCACAATTATGAATAGAGACGTATTTCTACTTACTTCTCAAACATATTTTGTCGTAGACTACATAATCGTTCATTGAAAATATGAATATTTGATTGAAGAAATACTTTTGCATCTTTCTGTTTAACCTATAGAATCTTTAAAATTTTATGAATTAAACTGTAACTAATCAAAAGATGTGCATAGAAGATTTCTGGAGACTGTAGAATTTTTACAGTTTAAATCACAAACTGATATTAGCTAGACTACCATCAAAAATCCAGAAGCATTGGACAGCTGTTTTGTCCTAATGTGGGACTCTCCAGTAGTGTCTGATGTGAGACATATCAACCGCAAATAATGGATATGACTTGCACGATATCATCTACTTAAGTTATACTCCAACACTGTTTAATCCCGACTCAGCGGTCTAGAGGTTAGGCGTTAGAGCGCGAGACCGAAGATCCCGAGGTCGTGGATGCGCACTTCTGAGAAGTTTCATACAAGAACGAAATAAACATCCGGTGCTTCCAGGTTTCCAATGATGATCTAGTTTAAATTAGTTCATGATGTAAACCATGAGAATCAAAAGGTCTATCTTTGTGCAACATGTATTATTTATGGCGAACATGAAAACGTCTGTGATTATTACTGTATGTGAAATTTTTTGTATTCTCATACAGAAAACTATTGGACAGCTGAACATCAGCTGTGTACATACAAATCTTATAAAGTACAATATTTTATAACATAAAGCTTACTTACATTCATATTAACTCACTTTGCATTGTCCATTTAGTTCCACTGGTTTGTAGAGAGAGTAAAAATGAAATGAATTGATTGGATTATTTTCAGATGTTCTCTATGTATTTTAAAATGTCATATTCATATAAGCTTATAATTCGTTTCTTCTTACTAAATATATTATGAGATCTTTATATCAATAACTTGAATAGTAAAGCTAAAATTTAACGTATAGTTCATTATAAGAGACAAAGAAATTATACATCTATAAATATCTATCATGAAATGTACAATTTGGACTGAGACGTTATTTCACTAGTGTTTTGTATATAATTTTTTGGAATTCAGAGTATTTTAATATAAGCACTGTCCATAGACCCCTCTGTAGATTGAAAAATATCATATCCGATAAATCAATTGGGAGATAAGATTGGAGATAAAAATTTTAAAAAATGATTTATATGGGTTGAGTCTTTTAAAGGTAACGAGCGATTTTGTGAGCAATATTATGCTTGAAGGAATTATACGGTTAAGGTATAAAATGATATATCATATACATATCAACTCTTTATTTCAGATTGTGGAAAATTTTAATAGTGGTGAAATATTATGCATACACTTAAATAAGAGATTTGGTGACCATAAGAGTTTAATTCATGCTTTTGATTTAAAATATCATTTATTAAGGTAACACAACACCGTCTAGAAATGTATTGGTTTAACGATAAAATGTTCACATGGCCTTTTTTCGTTCATGGTCCTTGTTATAACCTGCTCCTTGCTACACAGTTAGAAAATATCATCTCAAGGATGACTGCAATCAGTAAACGGAAAGCAATCACCCTTTATTATATCCCTTAAAACAGTTAACTCAGCCCTACAATGTGATCTGAAACCGGGAAAAATGCCATGTTTTATATACAGGTCTCCTTTTCAGTGGATAATGTCATCTAAATTACTGTAATGAAAAACGAATTTTATACTAAACAAGAATCAAAATTGAGTGGATATTCATCAGAATACAATAGAAAAACATACTGAAATAATTCATAAATAAATATGTAGAAATCTAAGTAAATGTTAAACTCATTAATGATCATATTGTTTTAATCAGTGATCTTACTCTTGATCACTTCTTATAGATCTAGTAAATGAACTGATATAAATATCGAGTTTTCTCAACTCTTACATGGAATCTCACATAGTTTTTTTTTCGTATCTATCATTCTGGTTTAAATACGAATTCCGTTTTTAGTCTTTCATATTCCCATGTAATACTGCCACCACATGACACAATACATGGATTATTCAAACTAATAAATCATGGTTGAATTCTTGAGTCAATTGAAGCTAGACGATCATTGAAAACCTGGAAACACTGGACGGCCGTTTCATCCTAGTATGGGACTCTTCAGTAGTGAGCATCCACGATCCCGCCCCGCAAGGTTCGAACCCATGACCTATCAGTCTCGCGCGAGAATGCTTAACCTCTAGATCACTGAGCCGGCCGGCATCCAACGGTATTAATGTCTAACTTCAAACAATCCCCGAAATTGAGTTACCATCATTTTAGTAATCCACGTACAATTCGTTTTTTTCTCTTTATTCTGCTTTTTTTATCCGCATTAAATCCTTTTTAATTTATTTGTATTGTTTGTTTGAATCTTCCCATTGGTGTTGAAAACTGCGATTGATCAGTCTCGTTTTTACCATTCTTCTCCTATTGATATTTTCATTTATTTTACTAACAAACGTTTAAACAGAATATATTATAAACAAAATGCCCCATATTTGGCTGTCATTTTATTCCATTTGATGAATCCAAGAGACAATAACAACAACTAGATTTCAAATGTAAAAGTAGTATAACACCGTCTAGAAATGTATTGATTTAACTATTGATAACAATACAGTGTTCACATGACCTTTTTTTGTTGATGGTTTATGTTACAACCTGCTCCCTGCTATGCAGTTAGGAAATATCATCTCAAGGATGACTGCAACGAGTAAACAGGAAGCAATCACTCTACAACAATTAGATTGTAGGGTATGTGAGAAACGGCAAAAATCACAAAAATTGAATTTTTATCCACGTCTAGTTTTGATTAGTTTTCTTCTTGGTCATCTTTTAATTATTGTCTATACATACATGAAAAACACTGTTTAGTTTAATTTTTCTGTGTTTATTTATTTGTTTTAATCAGTCATTTTTTTTAGAATTACTGTATAACCAATGATTTGTTTTTTTCAATTTAGCTTAAAGAAGCCAGTTTAATTCAACCGGATACAGCAATCTGTCATCTTCAATATCCATTGGCTTCTGGTGAATCAAGTGAATGTATGATACGATGGCTTGTAATCGGACATCAGTTAACTGTACAAATGGCTAAATTTCATGTAAATAGTACTGTATTAATGTAAGTCATTTGCTTGTTCATTTTTTTTAAATATCTTGCTATATTTAATGAGTCTTTTTGTATTTCTATTCTAGTCGGTGTCATTTGTTTACTGTAAATATGCACACATGAATAAGGGGTATTTTTTCTAACCCCCATGGTAAATACCATGAGTTTTAACTTATTTACTAGTTTGGTAGTCTCCCACTGATACCATATAAAGTTAATATGTTCTGCTTTTCAGATTTAAACCCTTCATATCACTGGTATAGACTAGATATGAAGATAATCTTCATTAGATGAAGAATATTTTGAAAAACCAAGAATCGCTTAACATCTGGTATCATTGAGTGGGCATTGGTGACTTGCTGCAAGGTGAATGAAATGTGTTTGGTCAATCAAGTCGAATATTGGTAATAGATCCCCATTGATGATGATGAGTGATAGTCTCAATAAATCATTAATTTACTGAATATGTAAAATATAAATAAGTCCTATTTTAGCTGGTTGATATAGTACACATTATGAAACTTAAAAGTATTTCGGTATAGTATGTTCCTCACTTTTTGATACTTTTGGAACACAGTGAAACATCTGTTTAATCGTTTTAGGTTTTTATTCCCACTTCAACCCCACACACCGGATAGAATTTTAAGTGTACATATCTCAATTTTATAGCGAATAAATGCTAGTAAATTACTGAAAAATATTGAAATAAATACTGAAAATCGTTTGTTTCACTAAATTTTATAGTATTTCTTTATATAATTACATATCTAGGTAATAAATTCTACACACATAAACATAATTATTCAGAATATCATACTTCAATATATTAGACTGGCTTTAATTTCACTTTTAATGCGATAATAAATTATGTTATTTCTAAATGAATGCATTCAAAACTATATGTGTGAGTTTTTCATCTGCTCTCATCATAAGTATAATCCACAAATGACTTTCGTCACATAGTTTAAAGCAACATTGAAAACCATAAAGCATTTTGCTGTTATTTTTTCACTGTGGTGCACAAGGCTCATCAGCTATAAAACACAGACACCAAAAAACCGCGTTACTTTTAGATTATTGAGTTGAATCCTAATAGTCCAGACTTTTTCAATATTATGGATGTGCAACAGGATCATTGAATTCAAAATTAGAGGTTTAGAAGTAGTACATTCTCCATGACAACTGACAGTTCTGGGACCAACCTCAGGAATAGTCTGCGACACGTACTGTTTGGCAACCGCATAGTTGGATGGAACAGATTTTCAGTACCTCGTGGCTTTCAATTATATTAAAATAACAAAAATTGTTCCCAAAATATAAATAGGACCAATACATAGAATGATTAGTCACACTTTAAGTTGGTTGCACGTATTTTTTTTCACTTTTCCAACTTTTAGAAGTTCTAATAATCCCATACAAGTTGAAGGACAATTAACTAATGAATTACAAGTAAATATTAAAATGATTGTCAATGTTTCAGTATTTGGGTAAGTTGTGATTAATGTCATTATTGTTACCAATAACAAGATTTTTAGCGTACTAGTGAAAATAACAAATTTCTGATTTTCTTTTATTTTCATTATTTCTCTCGTGAATGTTTCATCAGTAGGACTAGGTAGCTTCATCATGAACATAATAAATGTCTAGAATGAGATATCTAAAAAAATACATAAATGAAAATAATGGTCTTATTTAATTTTCCAATCAAAATTATATAAATTGATAGTTATGAATAGTTAGTTTTGTCTTATAACTCAGATATCAGAGACTCTAGTTTGAGACAAGCACTTCAACTTATTAAAATTCAATCTTTACTCTTATTGAGATTTTAATGAATAGGATTGATTGTGACTTAACTGTTTATTATTCACGTACTACTATGTGTTCAAACAAGTTTACAAGTCAACTTCAAAGATGTTTATAGGTTTCACTTAATCAATCAAAAAATACTGAATTTTCCTCTTTTTTGATATTATTGTATTATTATCTACTGTGGAATCACCGAAAACTCAAACAACCATGATTAATGTTTTTATCTTAATTTGTAATGTAGTACATATTTTCGATATTACAAGGGTATCGAACTTGAATATAGCAAGACATGTAGCCAGTATATGTAAAATCAAGGATGCTTATCACATTAATAAGTCTTAATCCTAGACATAGCGCCCGATAATTTATCCTAATTCTTCATGAACACCATGAATTAGTCCGTCATGTAATATTGGCTATAAAAATAAAACATTTTCTGTTTTACAATTGATTGATCGCTGACTAGAAATCACTATCATACTTTTCAAGTCATTTTGTGTTCATTGAATTCTTTTAATAAAGTTGTAATGTGGTTTATGTTGATGAAGCTGAGCGAGCATTATACCCTCAGGATTACATGTACATCTTACTGACTTATGTCAACTAGAAGAAAACTTATGTCCAAGATTTTCTACCGGACTAATTCCATACCTACTAGCTTTTTTTCTACGTTAAGTTAGAGGTGAAACTGTTTTTTACAATCAATTTTGTTTCCAAATAATTATTTTATTCTTAATTTTTATTAAAATGATTTCTACTACTATTATCTTAGTGACATTTTTAATTTTCTATCAAACTGATGTTAACCAATATTAGCTAAAACTGAAAACGCTTTAAATACGTAATCATTTCATTTTTTAAAAATTAAACAAAACAACAACAACTTTGTTATTTAAACCTAAGTAATATGTAGGTGTAGATATGATTAAACTCTTTTTTTCTAACTTTATAGTTTGATTCTCTGTCGTAAATCAGTGTCTCTAATTAGATCTCCATTAATCTCTACACAACTCTTTAATTAGATTGTAACAAAGTTTTCAGTAGACATTCAATATTATTTATGAACCAGAATTGTATGTAGCAGAAAAAGTTGTCAAATGTAACATTTGACTGAATTGTTTATTTCTATTTTTTTTTGTTTTTCGGATTTATTAGAAAATTTCAAAAAATATGATTTACTACTTGTGTAGTAGTATTATATTCAAAGTTATTGTAGAAAAGAAGATAATTGAATAAATTTCGATAATGCAATGAGAAGAAGTAGTTTATCAGAATTATGTGATATATTTGCGCAATACGTCTTCTCATTGCACTATCGAAATTTATCAAAGGGACTAATTGTTTTAAATGATTGAATAAATTAATCATCATCAGGTCTCAACAACTAAATCAATATTACATTAATATTGAGTAACTAGTTCTACATATTTGAAAATGAAATCACCAACTAAGTAGTTAGTTTAGTTTTGTAAACCGAATACCAAATAACATGAAATAACTGGCTGAGAACTATCAGAAACAACCGTGACTGGATCTTAAAATAATGTGTCACCTAGTTATAATCATCAGAGGGTTCAACTTAGTCCTCGAAATTTCAATAAATTTATTTTTAAAAGATGGAAAGTTATATACAATTAAATAAGTGTTTCATTCATCTCATTTCCAAAATATTATGATACGTACTTTCTGGCTTATACATCTGGTCACTATCCAAACATAGTCGACATGTCAATGCAAGCAACATTATTACACCTTTGTTCAAGAGGTTAATATAGTGGCAAAGCTGATCATTTCATTTTAGATTATCTCGTAATGGGAAAGCTCAAACTATCACAATAAATAAATATCAATATCTCCAGGCATTATTTTAACATTCTATCTAGTGGCTTCAAGTAATATATTTCTAAGGTTATTTTTATTTAATTCCTTCTGTAATATTTTCACAAAAATGATAAATGTTTATACAATAGTAAAAATTTATTCTTTCTGGAATATAAAATACAATTATCATGATAAAAGTTGGATTAATTTTGATTTGGTTATTTACTCTCTGAAGAAGTGGCATACATTAATTCACGAAACGTCAGAAAATCTCATTTTTCTACTCATTGGGATATTACAAATATATTAATTTATTTATAACAATCGACCCGATACTCAATTTATTCATAATTATCAAGTTAAACCTTGGTAACAATACCTACACAATTATCATGTTTCATTTCCATTGTTATTTGTCAGTCTCCATCTTTAACATATGACACATAGGATTTTGTATTAAAATTGATGAAAATTAACACAATTGTACTTATTGTCTGTAAATGTAAACAATTATGCAGACTTAATAAATAGGTATGAATTTCTATAATATTTTCCCTAGTAAACTTCTAACTGATTATAGATGATCCACGGAGTCGCGCCACCGTACACCATTGTCTTCAGTGAGTTGATATCTCACAACAGACTTGGTTGAACTCCACTGGTAACGGCTTCTCACTAGAACTCCAGGAGTATTTCTTGAAGTCAGTCACTAGTGAGCAGATGATTATTATCAGAAGGGGTTTTGTGGAGATTTTAGAAACTTCACTGGTTGTAATCATGAGTCAATTAAAGCTAGACCACCATGAAAAACCTGGAAGCACTGGATGGTCGTTTCGTCCTAGTATGGGACTCCTCAGAAGTGCGCATCCACGATACCTAGCTTCAATCGACTCATGATTTCAACCAGTGAAATTTCTAACATCTCCACAAAACCCCTTCTGATGATTATAGATAAGCAAAATAAAATTGATATACGAACTTCACAAATGGTTTTCATCATGGATAAATATCAGATATTAAAAAGTCTTAAATCAGTGCTCTTTTCTTTCTAATAGTTTTCAGACCGATGTACGTTCGTAATGAAATCTTTCAAACTGATCGAATCTACATAAATAACCTATTTAAATATGATTTTATTCGAAATTCAAATTTATGCAATTAACTGTAACCTTTCATATACGGCTTAACATATAATGTTCCAATCTGTTTACTTAGGTAAAAGTTAAATAAGCTTAGATCAACTGATAGTGATGTTATTAGAGCACTTAAATATAGTTTTGTTGTCTATATATTTGCATAAAAGTACAGCATGGTTACTAACCTCATGAGTTTTAATGCAACATAGAAAAAACTAAAATTTTTGTGTTGGTTTCATTGCAGAACAACTGAACCGAATACAATTTACTTTAGCGGAAATGTTAGTGACGGGATTAGTTCAATGTCAGCAGAAAATCAAATTGGTGATGTTAGAATTGTTGGAAAATTTACTGTAAGTAATAATGTTTTTTTACTTTAAATTTACCTTCATATAGCATACATTAACATTCACCTTGGCAATATTTTATTACAATCTCTTATTATTATTTGTGTAAGTCTTTGAAATCCATACCACATCTCCCATCTACCTCATTTCATAGTGATATACAGCCTTATCAAACACTTTCTCATTTCTATCCATATTATCGAACCTCTAAATTCACAATCTTCGATTGTTTTTATAAATATATTGTTCTTTTATGAAACGAAAATTAATCCGTACTTTATTGATTGACTGACAAAATAAAAAATTGTAATAGACAATACGTATTGAAACATTAAAACTATCCCACTTTCTTTTGAATCACAAACATACTGAAAAGTAATTTTGTTTCAATATAGTTTAATTTATGCGTCTGTTGTTTATTATAAAAAACTGTATACTTTAATTAAAACTTATTTAAGTCAAGTTATTAGGACTAACATAACTAATTCACTTAGTGTTGTTTTACTTGTATCTTCCCATTGTTATTTAGGACTGCAATTGATCAGTTTCATGTAACATAACTAATGTCATATTCAATATATTAATTCAAGTTTAAAAAATTCATTATGAGTTTGTGTTACAATGAACTATTTGAACGTGTTACTTCCAATACCAAATAAAATAATCTTAAGAGTGTTATCAGAATAAGTAAAATAAGTAACTATAATCATTGCAAATGATTTTAGTTCATTCTTGAGTAACAAACAGTACAATGGATTGTAAACAGAATGACATCATTGACTTACTAGGTCTTAGTTTATCTGGACGTTTTTCTTGACATTAAATTCTGAAAGAAATGTAGAAAAAAACAAAAACAATCTAGACAGAAAGTTGTCCACCATATTTAATCTCCATCGATTGTAATTTGAAATTATATTTATAGAATATGAATGAAAGTTTTCAGTCGATAAGGTTTTTAGAATTTATCATAAAATAAAAAAGATTAGTTCAGTGAAAAGTTCTCCTTTTTTGGGTAAATTTATTTTCAAAACTATACAACAGCAAATATATACATGGCTTCCAAAATGATAATAAAATTTTAATAAACATGGCAATTGTGTACAAAAGAAACTTGTATAACATCTTCTACCATGATCTCAATCTCTCGTATTGTTTTCTTTTCATTTCCTACTTCGCAGCCAACTGTTTCCCTTCTCTCTTCTTCTATAAAGAACTTTAACCCTCAATTGACTTGTTCCTGTTTCTATAATCCTCATGGTTACAATTCATCTCAATTTCCAAATGTTTTCTTACCGCACTGAGTCTTCCTTTTGCAATTATAATTTCTTTATTCATCTTCATGATGAATGTCCAAGCTCAGCAAAGAAATGAAAGTGAACATCAACTCTGAGATGAAGGTTCATCCAGTTGACAAGTTCCAAATGTGACAAAACGCGAGTCCTGAATTCCACTGCTAGCCACTATCCATCTTTGCTTATAATTGTCATACTGTTTTAAAAACTCGGTATAGTTCATCAGCTTGATGAAGCATAAATATCTACATATCTAACTGAGCTACTATCCCCCTATGTATGTAAGTATAATGCATCGTCGATCTAAATGAATAATTTTTTGCTACAATGAACTCTCCAATTGTTAGGACTTATGACATATATTGAGATATGAACTCAGCATTATTATTATAAATATTTACAAATAAAATTACAAATTATTGTTTACTCCAAACCTTAAGCGCTCATCATTCTAATCAGCGACTTTCATTGTAAGGCTATCCAATATCTTATCATTATGTTATTAAAATTTAGATCTACATACTATTCATCTCAGATATGGGAAATGAACATAACTTTATGACTAAAATAGTTTGTTATCATTTTTGTTCTTTTTTATCACCTAGACTTCTCGCTATAATGACTAGGGTTCTTAGTCAGGAAGAGAGAAATAACAAGAGTTATTAGCCAACTAAAAGTCAAATAACAGTCTAATTTGACTACAGACTGTGTATTCATTTCATCCGAAAAGCGTTCATACTATAAATTATTGATAACTCTGGAACACGTCACTAGTTAATGTAAATGACAGTGAACAAGTCTTCCATCAAAAATCTCAATTTTCAAACCATTGATTTCAAACAAAATAGTTATTTCTAGATTAATTTAAGAACTGTTCTCATACAGAAGTGTTATTTACTGGCGAATCAGAGAAACGGTATCAAGTAGCTGTTTTAGACTGTCTTTCTAAAGCTATTTTTATATATAAGTATTGTGCTGTTTCTTACTGTTCTTGTTATTGTGTTGCGAAAAAAGGTACGAAATTTACGTAAACATAGTTTAATACCAGCATCACGTCTGATCATCGATTGGCCTTTTGAATTCGCTGGGCTCATCAATGAACCACATGGAAAATATCTTCTCTACTTGCTTGAAAACCCTTATGTAATTCAACATGCGCTTCCAATTCCTGGTCAAACAGTAGAAAATGAAACTAGTGTTGTTTGTGATTCTAAGGCATTACAGAAAGTTGTTAATCCACATAATTTCCGAGTGAGTTCTTTTCAGTGGTTCCTGTCATTTTTGTGTTAATATAAATGACTGTTGTTTTGTGTTCTGAGGTATGTCCGATTTTGCTACGGATATACAAGCTACTTATACACAATCCTATCCGGGTACTTGAATGAAAAAACCAAGAAGTAGGAACCATTAATTCAAAGCCCCAAATCGAAGATCTATGCACAACTCATTTTTAAATACGTATCCGTTTCCCTCAGAAAATTAACACAGAGGTTCAGCCAACAATATGTATCTGCTTCCTCAGAAAGTTGACTCAGATCTTGGCCAATAAAGTGCACATGTTAGCATTTCTCACTTACCATGTGGTCTTAAGACAATATGTCTGATTCGCTCATCGTATCACACTGCTTTCAATTAATCTCTGTACTGCTTTTTATCATACAGTATTTTAAGATATCAAACACGTTTTCTTCAAAGTAAAGCAATGAAATCGAAAATAAAGAAACATGCTTCTGAAACAAGAAAAAGTGGATATTTTTGAGTGTATATAAATAACTCACATTTATTAATGGATGATAACCTAATCGTTTAACTTTTTACCTTGATTCAAATGATAAATGAGATAAAATATAATTCGAAATTACATTAGATAGGAAAAAGTAAATAGTAAATCGCATGTTAGAAAACTAAAAAGCGGAAGATAACTTCTTTAGGAAAGCATCACACGCTACTGCAAAAGTAATTAGCTAACTAACCTCTTCTTTTAAAACACATCATTCAGATGAAGTTATTTTGATGCCACTGGTTGGTAAAAAAACAAGCTATAGTAGAATTGAAACATCCTGTATTTTGTACTGTTGTAAGTTATTAGTCATAAATTTATTCTGAAGATATGACTCAGTAATCCCTGCTCCTTGTCTTCCACGAAGTTTTGAGAACAGATTCATATGACCGATTACGAACTGACGGATCCCAGTTTTACGTTCATTTTGATCTAGGAATTCAAAAATTATTCTTAGTCCTCGATGAATAGGTATAGTTCATAACTTCATGCATAAACCAATACGATGTTGTTAATCAGGAATTTGTCGCATTATCGTAATCATCATTGACGTAACTATTGTTTGAAGTTATGTTTAATGTATCATTCTACATAACTACCTACTTTTAATGGCACTTCTGTGAGATTCCTAAATTACATTACGCGCGATCAAAATGCAGTGACTCTATTATCCCAACATACTTTATTCGTTAAAGTCAATAAGCAAACAACATCTTATATCATAGTATGCTGCATTACCAATAATGATCTGTCAAAAAATACCCAAACCGAGATCGGGAAACTCTATTTTATTCAGGGTATATCAATCTTATTCTATTCATTTGCCTTATCTTCATTTGTCTAGTGAAAATCATCTCTGTAAGTCCTCAGTAATCAGATTTTTCATATACCTCGTCGTTTGACAGTCTATCACTGCACTACCTACCTAACCGACCATTTTGGATTTTAAGAACAAAGTAGAATCAGTAGAGGTTAAGTCAAGAAAGTGATAAAAATAATCTGGTGTGATGATGATATCATGTACCAGGAATTTACGAATATTTACTGCTGGACACTTAAAGGCTTTGTCATGGTTCAACAGCCACTTATTGGGATCGTATAAATTTATTCACATATGATCCCTCAGGAGTTTAATATCCTTCACACAAGAATTATTCACCATCTGTTCTTCAGGAAGTGATTCATAGAGGCTAACATCATAAATATCGCATTTATTGAACATATGAGTTGTATGAGATGATCTATCCTAATGTTATAGTTGTTTTCTTTCGAAGATATTTTCTAGATTAAGAAAATCAAATGATGGTGTACCAGTACGAACTGCGTCAATTAATATCCCTTCAGACAACCCTTCTCCTTATCCCCCATTATCAGACAAAATGATCTTGGAGCCAGTTCCTGATCGTTTAGCAGATTCAAAGAAATTAGTTGATCGAAAAATGACTACAATCGTAAGTATTGATCTATGTGAACATAGTTGTAGATTGTATATTGTTCTTAAGAATTACATTATTCGTTCACAGAATGGTGGCTAATGTTGTATTGTTAAATTGTTAGCTCTAAACTCCTAGTTTCATTACAATCCTCCAGATTAAGCGGCTGAACATCATAGAACATCTGGCTAAGTAGGTTTTCCTGCTGAATAGTTACAACTACTGAGCATTTTAAGAAATAAGCTTTATTTCCATTTTAAAGTCTGTTGATCCAATGAATACTAGTCATGATTCACTTACATCAAATAATTTTTGATTTGTAATCTCTACCTAGTCCTTCGCCTTAGCAACAGTACGTTTACTCACCTTCTTCAGATAAATCATTTGCTTGTTAATAACTTATTTTGTCAGCCAGCGATTGGATCATTTCCTGTATTTTATTATTATTTTCTCAGACTTTAGTTAATTTTAAACATCTTATATTTTTAGAGTTGTTACAATGGACGTATACGATGTGTACCAATTATTTGTGATTTAGGCAAGTTATCCTATAAAGCTGGACCAATTACACTTGAATTTATCGCTAGACTCTGGGAAAATACAATGCGAGAAGTTAGTTTTGAATATTCTCACCATTTTTTTATCATTTCTTAAAATTATAGTTTGATTTCAATGACTTTGTCGTCAAAATTGTTTAATCACTACAACATAACTTATTATCTTATTTAATAATGATTAGTGATGTATACTAAAAACGTTTGTAATGGTGAATCAAGGTTAACATTTGTCAACAAACAATTCATAAGTCAATATATACTCTACAAAGTTAAATAATTGTTAACTGGACTAATCATATTAACTTGTTATTTCTAGTGTTACATTTGTTTAAACAATAGCTACGTTTGTAATTTGAGAGCTGACAAGTTTATAGATTTTGATTAATTATCTGTTTTTGTAGATAAATTGGCCTACCTAACAAACTTTCCTGTTTACTACGTATGATTTCTAATGATTTATTCTAATAGGAATTAAGAAAAATACCGATTTATGAATTTTGATATAAAAATCCATAAAAAATTACATCAGCCTTCAGTGAAATGTACTCTTAACAATTTTACTCGGAAACCCTCACCTCTCGATGACAGTGAATGAGAACCGCTTGACAAGGGCTATAGACCTGCAGTTTTATGAAAGCATCATGAATCCTACCCATTTTCATAATAACGGGATATTGTTTTTGAATAACGTTTCTTAATCTAACTGTACATAAAAACAATCTTGTTGATGTTATTTTAAGTGCCCTGATACGGCCGAGCGTGAGGAGAGTCAGCTCTCCTGCTCGAAATACTCTCATACAGTCACGCGTACACGGTCACTACCAAGGAAGTCCTACTTAATGTCTTCTCATAGCAGGTATGTTTTTGTGTGAAATTGAGAGGATGAAAAGAGAGTTGGCCGGTTAGTGGAGATGGAGGATCCAACTATGAGAGTCAGAAAACCCTGATTCCGAACCAATGCTGTACATGGGTTTCAGGATCATAAGGAAAAAATGTCGTATGAACCTATTGTTGGTCAACAGCTGCCATGAAGCTGCATCTCCTAAAGTTGCCTTGTGGATAAGACCTCTAAATCAAAGGCTCGGTGTGTGGCCCCCTAAGAAAACCACCTTTGGTTTGGACACCCGGTCAGTATTCCAGCCCTCACACAAACTAAATGACGAAATGTGGCGCACATATATTCGGTGCCTCCTTGTGCCAATGTTCATGTGCTCGAATAAATTTACTTAACATCAATTTCGGGTTCATTCTTCTTTTTTGTGTCTACCACTTTAATTTGTTTAGTAAAAACTTATAAATTTAATGTCCCCTTGTCGTTTCTGAAGCTTATTATTTTCTTACTGTTATCATCTTGCAAATGGGTATTGATGAGACATCAATCACCCAAATTTTACAACAACTTGGGTGGTAGAATCACTTAATTAATAAGAAATATTGGACACAGTTTGATTTTTTTACAATTTAGTTCGTGATAAATTAGTTTTTTGATGATAAAATCTTCCTGTAATAATCTAAATTTTAAAGAATATAATTGTAAATTTGGAGTCGTTGTAAGGTCCTATAAGTGACTTGGAAGCATTACAGAGTCAATAATGTGGGAGTCACTTGTTTCAATTGTCACGACCAACACTTCGCTTTCACTCTTTTTTCATAATACAATACTTTAAATAATAATTACACAGATAAACTAATAACAAGACCCATCAGAACAATCAAACTATACAGAAATTTAGATTAAATCAAAATCCTTTTAACAAATAGATAAATTTCGTAGCTAAGCTGGTATGTTGAGAAATGACCATTTGGATACTTTTTGTTTGAATATTGTTGTAACGTAGGCTTCTTCTATTCAGTCTTAATCCGTATATATATATATATATATATATATATATATATATATATATATATATATATATATATATATATATTAGTATATGGAGATTTACACTCTGGACATTTTTCCCACACGACACCTTTTTTCGATTTTGTGCGTGAATGCACAAATATAAATCATCTTCGTAGATATCTGGGACACAGGAGTTGTTCAATACTCTCAAGTTTCCAGTGATACACTAATGTTAACTCTTCTTCGGCATAGTATTGTCGGATACTTCACTTCACTCGACTAATCGAATCAAAATAAAACTTGAGCAAAACGTAAATATATTCCAAACCGCTAAGTCTGATACTGGAATGCTTAATCCTGACTTTCTAGACGTTTCCTACAGCCTCAGACTACTTCTACACTTCAACTCAAATAATAGTGAAAAGGTTCAAAATCTTAGTAGAAACTTTATTCCAAACTTAGTTTTGTACAGAAAATCGAGAGTATTTATGGAGTTCTGTGTGACCTTGCTCTTCTAAGGCTTTTTGGGAACATAAGAAAAATAGTGACGGCATAGGTATTTACGTAATCAAAAATGTGGCACGTGACCCGTTAATTTCTGGATATTTTGGAGACGCTTCTATTCATTGCTGATCAGATAAACATTTTCTAGATTTTTCTGGGATTCTAGGGACTTTGATGATCATCATTTTTGAACTCTCCGACGAAAGTAAAACAGCAGGTTTAGGTTAATTGAAATCGTAAGAAAATGTCAATGTACAGACAAACCCGGCACATAAATATTCTAGAGTCTTCTCAGTTCATCCACTAGCGCTAACTAGTTGAAAATGAACCGTTTAGCTTGCTCCAGCGCGATCTTTTCTGAAGCATGCTTTGATCAGGTTTCTGTTCCGCCGACATCCAACTAATATCAAAGAAAGCAAGATCAAACTTACTTTGAAACATTTTACGTTATGGACTGGCCTTAAATAAACAACCAACTGAAACTTAGGAGTACTGAACAATCGCTTTGAACTAGATATGCATAAAAGCAATTTGGATATCTAACCAGAAATTAGGAAAACAAAGGTAACAGATAACAACGAAATCTGTAGAGTATACATTTTTGTGCCTAGTGATATACAAATAAGTATAAATCAATTAGCAGCAAGTGAACTAATATAATTCGTTCATAAGTAAAATTGATTTCACAGTACAACGAATGAACTGAAGTTAGATATATCAACTATGAATTTCCAACGCGTTCGTCCAAAGGTTAAGTTCTGGCTGTGAAACCTGAAGACTATGGAAGTGACCCCCATTTGTGTCGTGGATGTGCAATACAGGAAAAATCACATTTTAGGACGAAACAGTTGTTCAGCTCTGCTCTATTTTTTGTGGGTGTCTAAGGCCACTTCGTTATATTAACTACGAAATTCAACAGTTACTATGAGCACCTATATTGATAACTCCAAATAATTCATATTACTAACGAACTTTAATTAGGCAGCTAATAGAAACCGGAAAAGGACTAAATAGCTGTTTTGTGCTATTATCATGGGACTTCTCAACAGTGAGCATCCATAACCCAACTAAAGAAACCACTTACCTCCAAGACCTTCGGTGAGTTAACTGGCTAGTGCTATCTGGTTTCCAATAGTTATTTAACTTTAAAAAACGGTCGATAATATAAGCCAAAAAATGGAACCATCTTTACAAATCTCCTATACTAATAATTTCAAATAATATTCACCTTCTTTCTCAACTTGTCTTTTATTTATTCATTTATTGACTATTAGGACTTTTTAAAAGTATTTTTAACTAAACTCCATCTGACTGCAACATGGAAAGCTGATGTTAAATATGGCATTGACCTTGGTGGTTCTGATTATGCACAAGATACAGTAAGTCAATGGAATTATACACAGATTTTATCCGTGTTTCCACTTGATTTTATTTTTCAACCAATTATGCATTATTTCAGCTTTAAGTAATTTAATAATAATAGTGATGGTGAATTTTGTCCTAAATAAATAACAATTGTTAACATCCTTAAACCTATTATAACTGAATAATATATTTAAATTATAACTAAATAAAAAATGAAATACTGTGATATATTCTACTTGTGTCTGTCGACATAAGTAGTATGTAACACCGACTAGAAGTGTTATGCCTGTCAAAAGAAGGTTGAGAAGAGTGAACTGAAGAAAACAGAAGAAGAAATGGAAAGGAATTAAGAATTGAAAGAATCATCAAGGATGTAAAGGACAATAGATGAAAGATTTGTAAATAAAGTATTTGATGTTTGGTTGTCATATTTTACCAAAGAACTCTGTAATTTTTTGGCCAAGAAATTTATCCATCTATTATTGAGTTGTCATTACATTAAAATATCAGTCAAATAACGAGTATGATAGTATTTTGAGGCTGTTACACTCAGAATACGCAAATAGTTGGAGCTTAATTTATCTTTATAAGTTGAAACCGACGAAGAAATTTCAATGATAGATTTCATAAACATTCTACTCAAACCAACTGTTATGTATACTTTATTGTTTAAATTCGATAGATTTCAAAATTAATGTAACAACAGCTTGTAGTAATCAGCAGTTAAACAGATGAGATTTCATGTTAATTTCGATAAAATGATACCTCAATGATTGCAACAAATACTAAGTGTATTGTATTTTACACGTCAAAAAGAAAAGTTAACATAAGTGTCAGAATTATTAATCTTCACATTGGACAGTTTTATAAGTGAAATTCTTCTTAGTATTTATTTTGAGTATCACAAGAAATTATTCCGTTAGAAACAATATTCCCAAGGTATTCAAATTACAACCCTACTTTATTTTACTGTTTGTCTGATAAACTCTAAAGTATACTCGAAATTCGGACAAAGTAATCATAATAATTATACTCACTTCATTCAATACCAGATGTCTGATTACAGTAAAGGATTCTTATCATGAAATATATCATATTACAAAAAAATTACTTTTATTTATGTACTGGACTTGTGAATATTCAAGAAAATATCTATAGAAAAGTTTCAGAACAGTGATAAACTACTATTCATATTCACCCGTAACTTTTTTTACAATCTACATTGCTGCTATGACATCTCTTTTCATCTTTGGAATATATTTGCTGTCTGAATTTTATAGTATTTGCTTTTTGTGTTTCTCCGGATTACAAAAGAGGAGGGAAATATGTAAACTATCACGATGGATCTTCTTAAGTTTCTCAAAAATCAAATTCGCAAGAGATTGTAAACATTCTATGAAAGTGTGTAAATATATGTCATTGGTAAAAACGATTGGTTAAGTAAATTGAAAACAGTAACATATATGGCAGTAACTGCCTGTGTAGTAAAATAGTTGACCCATGAAATTGATGAGACTACTACATTAGATTATCATTGATTTGTATATCACTTTTACATATTGAACTTCTGATGATAATGTGTTAGTGAAAACTTACCTGACTGTTTGATAATCGGTCAACATCAATGAAAAGGTTTAATACAAAATAAACCATGAATAATACAAAGATTTATAAACCGACTGATTCACTTTTTATTTATTTAAACACAAAAATATTGGTAAAAAAAGGGAATCAAAATAAATATGCGCTACAAAATAAGAGAGGGTGAGTGTAAAGAGATAGGGGAAGGAGGGCGAGAATAATTTAAAAACAAACTAAATAAATGAAAAGAAACAAGTGAACAAAGGTAGTATACCATTAGTAAGGCAGTTCAATCAAGAACTATATTACCAGAAAGAATTTTTTCCAGTTAAAGTTCCTCTCATCTTTGTAAAGTAAAAGAAAATTACAGGAAGACTTTTACTGGCTTTTATTCTATCAATATCGGATCATGTCTCAGGTTACTGTGTCGGGCTATTTGTAGAACCTCAACTACAGAGTCATGAAGGGCCAACAGATGCCAGTCCTGTACAACTTTCCTTCATACCACGGTACCATGTCGTACATTGACCATCTCTCCGTTTTTCTCAATCATTTCTAGCGTCGTAAAACAATGCATGATGTAGAATTCACGGGACTGACAAAATGACTCGTTTTTCTAATTGAGATTGTTTATCGGACAGCTTTATGGGAACGTAACATTGAAAATATGAAACTATTATTATTGTTTTATCTAAATGACACCACAGTAGCTAGAAATACATCCATGTTTGAAAACTAGGAAGCAACGTGAATACATGTAAATAAATTATGATAAATACAAATGTATTGGAAAAATAGTGTATAACTTGCAATGACTTTTAAACAGCATTGTAAGGCAGTGATGATATTTTTAAAATGAATTTCAAAAAACCTACTTATTTGATCGAACTACACATGTTTACGATAATATTAATTTATTCTAACATTATCGGTACCTCAATTGTTCTCTTCAATTGCCTATATATATTTGAATAATGATTATTATCTTTAATTCTGAGCTACAAATCGTAATTACTTTAATTTGTATTCAACTAATCTAAACTATTTTCAACTGTTTCAAGTTAATATAAACTGGTTTTAAATGACTATTAATGAAGTCCATTAATGTTGTTGTATTTCATAGAATAGATTGTACAAATGTTAAATAATTATATTCAGCTAAATATTTTTTTTCTAGAAATCGACTGATATGAGGATATTTTTTGATCACGATTTAACATTATTTACACAATCCGTATAGACTGGGAAGCACTGAATAAATATTCGTTTTCTAATTTAGAAATGAAATGTTACAAAATTATATACTCCATCGGCGATCAAACTTTCAGACTAGGCTATCAAGTTTATTAACAAATTAGTCATTATTTCGATCAATTGTATTTGGCAAATGAACAGATCCTTATTATCAATAGCTGGGTTCTGATTGGGTAGCTGAATGATAATGTTTACCATAAAACTTAATGGTCCTTGATTTGACCTTATATCAAGTGAAGGGTTTTGAACTAGAACAAATTAAATATTCAGTTCACTTACATACCTAAGATTTAAAAATGTTAACCTATCCAATGGTTAAATAAAATAATATACTTGGTAAAACTTAAACTAACCAAATACTTATATAAAATAAGAAAATCGATAGCTCAAAAGATTTTTAAAGTTCCTTTTGTTCCCAATGCCGTAAACACCGATAAAATTTTAAGATGAGTAATATATTCTGTCTTCTAAAGTAATCACAACTTTATGAAATAGAATTTCACCATATAACTGATACAAATTCCCTTCATCATTAAATTCATATGTATTTGCGTTTTAATAAAATTATGTTCTAATCTAAATAATAAATGGAGTACCATCATTTAAAGTTATTGTAAGAATAAAAATGCCTTCTTACATAGAATGAATAAAATATTCACTTGAATATCACAGTGAAGATAAACTGGTACTCATGTACAAATCTCCAGTAATTAACAAACAGTTCATATTTAATGATTGATATCAGACCTTGAATCTCTTTTGTAGACTATTCCTCTTAGATTGTGGCCAAATATTGAATAATAATAATAATAATAATAATAATAATAATAATAATAATGGAAAGTTCGTTATTAGGTTTACGGATTATATTTCTGTCCTCGAAATTTGTACAATCATAGTAATAATAATATTCTTCTTAATTTCTGTTTTTATCTTTTCTTTTGTTGAAACGAAATGAAAAATTGTACTGATTTTGTCATTTCCCTAATTAATATGAATATTCTTATCATTTTTAAATTGAACAATACCGCTTACTATTTTTTTTAAAATATGATTTGTCTATAAAATTATGTCTATATCTAAAAATGAATATACGGATTTATCTATATCTGTTGTTTATCGACTGTTTGTTTATATACATTTATCTGTGTTTCGCGTCATTATCGTCATATAACTGCATGTCGAAAAATATGGATATTTTCATTTGTTCACCGATTGTCAATTTCATTATACATGTACTTAATATTTAACCATACATTTTAGTGTTTTAAAGAATTTAGTTACTATAAGCTGACAAGTTGTATATCCGGTATTATAAACCATGAAATGGTCAGTATTAGTCAATTATATAGGTAGATGTTAGTATGTCTTATTTTTTAATATGTACATAGTGAATATCCGATCCGTTTACTTCTATGACTTTAAAAATGTATATTGTGGATATTAAGTTTGATCGAATTCACGATTTCCAAGTTTAGCTGCAAATTGATTGTTCATTTAGTATTCAGGGTTTAAACACTCTTCAACTTCAGTTAATCCATAAATATAACTTTACCAACCTTCGGTAGTGAAATGGTTATTCATCCTTACTTACAAATCCATTGTTCCTACAGATCATGCACGTAAGTTAAAAATATTCGGGACTTACAAAAGTACGTATTGGTGTGATGATAAATTTTTCAACAACTATGATTATTAACAAGATTCTAGAAATACTATCTATCATATAATTAATGAGCGCAGGAAATTAAAGAGAGGATAATTGATTTTCTAGTCTTTTACTAATATCGAAAATGGAGAAAGTATCACTGATGACACACAACAACTGACAGAAGTCTGAAACTTAGATCATCAGAAGCTGACTCAATAGTCAAAATGTAACGCTGTAGGTATCAAGTTTGATCTCTAGTGCGATCATAAATATGCACTGTTGAAGAGTCACAAGCTAGTACAAAACATTTGTCATATCTTGTATGATTTCCACTAATAGTTCACTCACCAACTGAGGTCGACAGATGTGGCGAAGCCTACCTAAAAATTGAGACAAACTTCACAACTAACTTAACTCTCAGTATAGATTTTAATTAATTTAAATTTTTCATACCATCATTAATTTCACTGATGATATAGAGTTTCATATTAAAGAATCACTGTATTTGAACACTGATACCGTAGATTAAAAGCATCTTTACTCGTATTCAACTTATGTTGACTATTTAAAATCCTGATTAAAAATTTTACTGTTGATTAATTTACTTTCTAAAAAATGCAATGAATAAAGATGTGTAATCATGTATTTGTCTAACATTTTGTTCGCTATATTTTTCTGCATGTGGACACATTCGTGTGTTAAAATTCAGTACGTGTGAAACACAACTTGTTTATTGTTATTCATTTGATTTTACTGGTAATTTTCTTACTACGATTTTTAGATTGATTTACTCAGATAGCTTGTACAAAATGCATCATTGGCAACCACATGTAATAGTTACAGATTTTCACCATAAATCTTGTACAACAATGGTGATTGCTATCAGCTTGAATAAACTCTTAAAAGATAACCATGTCTTTGATTAAACTTGTCAACAACAGTTATTGCCCTGAGTTAACCACGACCTGCCTATCCAGAATTGTAGACAGCTGAGTTCATTATTTTAATAACCACTTTTGATTCGAAAGTTAATCATAATATGGATTATGCATATATTTTACAATCTTACGACTAGGTTTAATCCATCCTCATCAAAACAATTTCTAATTTGATTCGTTTTTATATTGGTTGTTTGGATCTTCCCACTGATGTTTAGAACTGCAATTGATCAGTCTGTTATCGGCATATTTGCACCCAGTGCAGATTGTCTAAATATTGTTTTAAGTCGCAAGCACTATAAGCAAAGATGGATGGTAGCTAGCAGTGGAATCCAGCATGCGCGTTTCGTCCTATTTGGGACTCTTCAGCTGGTCGCACCCGAGCGCGTCCTGGATTCCACCGCTAGCCACCAACTATATCTGCTTATAATTCCTCATTTAATAATTTCGCTTTTACCGTAATTCGGTGTGAAAACGTTTTCAGATTAAATATACAAAATCATTGAAAATGTGAAGCATATTCTTACATTAAAGTAAGAGTATTGATATCATGCATTACCAGAAATAAATTCCATTTACTAAACGTGAAAAATTTGTATATACTCGCATGTTCCTTTCCTATACACAAGCATATATATTAATATCATCAAGAATTTTTTAAAAACTTCATTTGTTTGACGATTCTATTGCATGGAAAGATCCTTTCGTTTTTCAAAAGCCCTTCCTTCCCCTTCTTCACCTCTCTAATTCGAATATTCCTCCTTTACATTGCTATATTTTCATTTGTTGTCATGCGTTTCCAGTTTAGTTGGGTAATTACGAAAATAATAAAACTACTTACTCCAGTTCTCTTATGCTTTGTTATCCAACTCATTTTTTGTTTCTTCTTAATTCTACTAGATTGAAGTTCATATATTTAATAACTTAGAGCAGAAACCAATCCCTCCAAAATATATGGCATTATACATAGGATTAGCTGTATTTGGAGGTTTACTATTGTTATCTATTCTAGTTATTATACTTTATAAAGTAAGTTGACTATCAATATATTCATAATATTTGAAAAATAATCAAAATATTCATTATCAAGTTGTGGATATTGTTAAGTTCAATTCAAATCATGAACCAATTAGGGTTAAACTATCAGTGGAGCTAAACCGTATCAGGTGAGGCAGTTACCCACCGAAACTAATGGAAGTGGTTGCGCATTGCCCTGGGTTGATTGGAGTTAGACACTAACACCGTTGGATTCCGGCCCAGTGGTCTACAGGTTAAGAGTTCACGCGTGACCCCGGAAGTCCTGGGTTCTAGTCCCATGTGCTAGATCGTGGATATGAACCGTCGGGGAGTCCCTTACCAGAACGAAACGACATTCCAGTGCTTCCAGATTTTCACTGTTGGTTTAACTTAGCGGTTCATGCTTTCGTTGGGTCTTGTTTTTCTAGTATTAATTCTAAAAATCATTATTTGTTGTTTACAGCATATGATACATGCATTATTTTGGTTGATAAACTGATTCCCCCTTAATTGAGAATAGTAACCATTAGAGCTGGGAAAGAGAAAACATAATGAATTCCGACCACAACAATTATCCCAAAAGTTAATGTAATTCAGCTTAATTATTAGTAAATTTTAGACTGATTGATTTGATTAAGGACTTTTAATTTTTGTCTAAATATTCAAAGAAATTTATTGAGTTAAGTATTATCTCACACTGACAACTAATAGGCAATAATCATTTCTATCTGTCATATCAGTAAATCTTAGCTAAACAGTAAAGTGGAAACCACTTCAAAGAAGAAATCTTGTTCAGTTTATGCTTGTAAACAGTGAATTGTTTATTGCCGTGATTCTAAAAAAGGCTACCCCTAAAATACACTTGGGAATCGCATAAAAAGCCTTAAATAAAAGTATTCGTGCAAAGAATCGATAGGTGATTAGAATTCATTCACCAAAAAAGTCTGAATAAAGTATAAATGAATGAAACTTAGGAATTCCAATGATTAACTCTACCTTGATCAAATCAAAACTATCCTCATTTGTTAAGAATAGAGATGACTAACAAGGATAAAAGCGTATAAATGTTGTCAATAATGACAGACAATACGAATTTAAACATTGAACAAGGTTGGTCCTGATCCCACTTGCCAATATCAAACAAACAGTTAGTGATGTCATCCGAATAAACTTTTAGTTTTCGACTTATCTATAACAACTAAATAGCTTATTTTTATTTACAAATCTAGTATACAAATAATGTGAATTTGATTAACATAATATTAACTTGCATTATTTTAGGCCGGTTTCTTTAAACGTAAACGTTTCATGCGAAGACGAACAAAAGTACCGCCTACAGAACCAACCCAAAGACTTGGTCAATACACTTCAACCGAACCAAAGCAAAGACAGCCGTTGACTTCACCAATTCAAACAACCTATCATGACAATAGAAAAGTCACTTCAAGACGAACAAATTATCATCCAGTGCCTAACACACAGGAACCAGCCTATCGTAGGACACCTTATTCACCTTCATCTGACTTTCCTATTCCACATAAATAGTAGATACTACATACACTGATTATTATAGATATAGATTTTTTTATTTTCTAACTTAACAATTGTCCTTTACGGGTAATTCAGAAGACTATCAATAATCACAACGATATATATATATTTCTCGACTGCTGCTCCGAAAATATACACCACAACTACAAAATGTCCAAATCCTATCATTTTACTCAGAATACTTTTCTATTTGCTGACAATGTTTTCTATTACCAATCTTTTTGTTACTCAATATGCCAATTATCAAATCAACGAAATAATTGCCAACTTTTTATGAGATGCTTTCTATATTACCTATATATATATATATATATATATATATGTGTGTGCTGTTCATCCGCACACACGCACATACATATCTAATTGCTGTGCACAAATGAAGCTTGGCGAGCTAATTGTTTGACTTTTTCAAATTTGTATCAATTAAACCTACTACTGATGGTAATAACAGTAGTATTAATGATGACAGTAAACTAACCTATACTAGAACATTTTCAGATGACATTTTTATATATACAAATATCTGGATACAGCTCTGATAGTGAATTTCAACAAATATCCTTTGTTTTGGCTCAATTTTTTATAAATTTTATTTTTCGACGGGATGAAATCTTTTCAATTCATTTCAGGGGAGACTAGGAAGTACCGCAATAGTTGCGCAACCTCCATAGAAGGCTATTATCGTTATATTACTACCTCATTTATCAGGTGCAGACTCATGTATTTGGCTTTAGGACATACTATGATTGTGAGGGTCAGTAGTACTACTTAATTGCTTAGACAGAAGGTGGTGTGAAGTTTGAACCTGACATTAAGTACTTCAAAGTCCAATGCTTTAATTACTGAACCACCCCACTGGAAGTATTGAAGCAGATAAAAATCATATATATCCTCCTCGAAATACTTAAATCATTTTACGTTCACGTAGAACAACTTCTAAACAAACATGTCGGTTTAGTGTATTACGTAGTTTCTCTCGAAACTACTGACGAACGTTTATCCTCGAATCGAAGGTCAAAAACGGGGCAAACCAAAATGTACCACAGTAATGCGCCAATTCTACGTGCCATAGTTCAAAAAACAGGGACGATGGAGCAATGACGATACTGAATTAAAAACATACATACTAAGAACTAGTAGCGGATAGAAATTGAAACTATACAGTCCAACCTTTAGAATAAAGAACGGATACACATGGACAGACAAATGTTCCAACCACCCCAGCCAGAAATTAATTTACAAAATGTTTTAGCGATAGGGTCAAAATACGACAAACTATACATTTTCCTCATATCTTTGTCTGTTCGTGTGTTCATATTTTGTCTACTATATGTTTTTCGTAAATATTCTTAGTCCCGCTAAACAATCTAGCTCAAACCATTTTCATTCACTTACATGGTTGTCATCTTACAAATACATGCTTAAGATATATTCCTTCAGTGCATTTCATATCTGGCTTTTTATACCAAGGTTGTGAATTGATGTTTTTTAAAAGTATGGTGCACGGAATCAAACTCGATTGCAGTCAACTAAGGGCTGCAAATGTGCTAACTATTCAACTTTATCCGCTTTTGAACCAAGTTTCCTATCAATTTTTTACTTCTATCTTAACCATTAGCTCATCGCTATTGAAGCTCTGACATATTTGAATAGCTTTGGATTTCTACGTACTTATTTTCCTAAGTATGCTATCAAGTGAAAAGTAATTTGATCGCTCTGAAACTGGTAAGATGCTAGATATTGGAGAACTTCACTAATTCTGTGGATTGTATTTCAGAAATCAATATTCAATGGCTCACTTTAAGGCTGCATTTAACTTTAAAATCTGTAGTCTATATATGAACTTAGTTAGGAACTACGGCTCTGGTTTAGATAGTGTGGTAGCTTCTATCATTAAAAGGTGTGCCAAAGATCCAAATCAACCGAGTACATGCTCTCTAACTAAACACTTACGGTTAAGTTTGCGGTGAACTATTACCGAAACTGTGTTCGTCAGTTTTATCCACTTTCTCAAATCTTACCTAACCCCGTCATAGATATTCTTTTAGAAATGACGTCCTTGTCGTCTGGCTCTTCAGGAATTTATATCCTAACAGAGAATTCAATTGTTGACTTCGAATGCCTGAATGACAAAATCCGGTTTGGGGAAGACACTTACAGAATCCAGTCTTCTGATTCTCTTGAGCAAAAACGCTCGCATGTCGGTGATGTAATTCCCTTCCTCTAAATGTAAAATGTTGCTTCAGGACTGGCCTATGTCAACGTCTGAACCAATAAAAGGAAACGAAGCAGTTGAAAGCGCCGATCACTTCATTTGTCTTGGAAGTCTTTACAGCATTGGTGGGTTGGTGTCTGACAGAATTTCAGCACGAACCCATGAAGCACTGTTGGGTTTTGCCAGCTTGCGTCACTTGTGGGGAAATATCCACCTTCCAACTAAGGAACGAGTTTACTAAGCATCGGTTTGCTCTGCTCCACTTTATGGGTGGGAAACATGACCATTCAGAACATAGGATATTTGTAGATTACTAGTATTCCATCATATGTACATTTTAAGCATTCCTCATACATGTTGGGAACATCGAGTGACAGGACAATGACGAGGTTAGGCAAACGACACCAGGTATGAATGGCAAATAGATATAAGAAGTAATGAATAATCGCCAACTACCTTGACTAGGGTATGACATAAGTCCAACCACCGTTTACCTCGATGGGTCACATTGTTTGGTGTAGGAACAGACTGAAAGAAAGCTAGGAGTGGCCAAACTAAGATATGGCATCAGTCGATGAAGTCATTGACTGTTGGACTGACCTATGTAACAAGATGAATACTACCTATTCGGGATGTGCAAGATCCTCGTAACCAATGGTTGGAGATGTATGACACAGATCGGAATAGATCGCAATGATACAGGTGCATCCACTATATCTTACCCTAGTTCCTGAATCCCGAGATCTCATACTTTCTATACCTAATCTTTCATACTACGACTGATGCTGTTGCTACTTCTAATACTGCCCGATTTGTCTTGAAAACTCTATCTTGGTGTGCTAATGTGATGTGGCAACTTGAGCCAATACACGTGTTGCAAGATATATGTTGTGTATGACTAAGACAATGTTTGAACAACTATTAGTTGAATCTGTGCCATCACTACCGTAAATCCAGTTATTCAATCGAGTGTTGTCAGAGGTACGAGGATGGCTGCACTACACTATTATTTACACCGTGAAAAAAACATCTCTTGACGGACACGAAAAGTGAATTAGGTTAGGAGTAGTCTTGACAATTAGGGAGCAAGTCCATAGAAGTCGAGCGCTAAATGCTTGATACCGGTCGTGTACGGCTTTTTACAAGTTCCTAATATTTTGGCTTAATTTAGTAACTAGATAATCTTGATATTACGTCCATAAATTTAAATACGCTTGGTCATCTTATTTGCCTACACTTACGTACACTAAAGGATAGATCTAATAAACTAATACTGCTGTCAAAAATTGACCCCTATGGTGCTCTGATAAACATTATAATTCCAACTGAAAGCTTAAATACAAGGACTTAACGATTAAGAGCGTAATTAGTACTTAGAACTCGAAATCCAGACTGAGAAAATCAAACCATAACTACTTCATAACACACAGGAAACGCACTACTTAAAGCATTAGTCATGAAAGACTAATACGGACTCGAGGACATTTTGGTTGTTCATCCGTCAGGATTCTGCTGCATTCTGACTGATTATTTGCATCCCGACAATGTGGCATTAGAAATACCTCGTGTTCCGACATGCAGTAAAATTTTCAGCTTTGACGGGCTAACACTGAGATCACTATTCGAAACATTTTTTACATCACTATGAAATTTCAAAGTACGTTTACCATTGCAATTATTATCATTGCAGTTGATATATAACCGATCGGATTAAAATTACTTTTAACTTTATTGTGGTAATCACCAGCAAAGCTTCCATTATTAAAACAAATACATTTTTGAGCCCGACAGGGAAGAAAAGGGTAAAGGCACAGACCTATTAGTTTGTGACAAGAATAGTCCGTCAAAATTATTTTATTTATTTATTTATTTGAACACAAATAGAATGAAATGACGATATTTACTGAAACTACTATTCACGCTTTAATTAACAGTCCGTTTAAATTATCAAGATCAAGAGCCTAATATCAAGCCTCATGCAGGTTGACTCCATATTAATAATGCAATCAAAGTACCATATTGACACTGCATTTCAGGAAAGTTATATATGACCGAAAATAGCGTACTCAATACATCGTTTAAGATGTTTCGTTAGACAAGATAGGACACTAAGCAAATCTATCACTAGTAATCAACATATGTAATAACTAGTAACGCAACCTTATGCATCGAGGGCCTGCAAACTAACATTTGATCTACTTCGAAGCTTAACAAGTTTTGAAATTACTAAGAGTAACACATTGAAGCATGCACGACCTGAGCACAAACGAGTTATCGGACGCTTACGTAAACACAACACGAGTAGGGAGATAAAGTATGAAATGGAACCTGACAAGCAGATAAACCTACACTGAGTAACACCCACATGCTACTGCTGAATCTGATACAGTATCTCGAGTTTGAAATTCCACACTGATACTGGTGATAACAAGAGGTTTTCGATTTTTCTAATTTTCCCAGAGTTCGGTCGAACAAAATCAGACGGTATTTAGAGACCTGGAAATTTGTATCGACTGATGCATCAGTCCAGTTACTGATCGATTAACCTAGAACTTACTCAGCTGTTAAAGTAGGTCAGTATACAAATTAGTAAGGAACATTATGGGTGTTTGCACTTTTTGGCACTAAATCTAGTACTGTTTACTTATTTTTGGGTGCCTACTGACACTACTTGACCATAGACAACCCAGAACTGTCTCTACGATCGCCCTCGATATATGACTGTTCTCAGCATTTACTAGATCTATATAGTCGAGCACCTATACACCATTTAAATAGAAGAGCTTCACTGATTCCAGCATCAATATATTAAGATATATTTACATAGATCGACCTCTACCATAGCCTCCATGGAAATGAACCTCGCTATCACCAATGGCTGCATCTTTACCAGGAGTACCGAAGCCAGTCATTCCAGGAGTGACAGGTCCTCTTCTAAACGCGACACGACCATCAGACGGACCACGCTGTCCACCCTGATCCATTCCTACAGCCGGTGTTCGAATATCCCGGGGTGGAGCTTTTAGAGTAGCTGGAATAATATCAGAAGGTAAGTGCAAGACCTAAGGAAAAAGAACACAGAGTAACATCTTACCTCACGCAAATAATTGATCCCATCAGCTGTAAGGAACCAATAGTATGTTCTCCAAGCGTACTGTTCACGAACATATCCTCGAGATTTTAATGATCGCATTGTCTTGATGACATAAAGATTTAGAACGTTGATTGTCGGATGAGTGTAGCATGGACGGGTATCGTTCCTTGCCGTTAACACACCATCTTGAATGATCTTCTCAAATATACTATTCCGAGTTGCCAGAGGAAGTAACATTGTCCAAGGCAGGAAAACCTGTAAAACACGCGGTAAGTTGAGAACCTAAAGTGAGCGCGGTACTGTGACATCGATGCGCTAAACAAACCAGAGTAACGTTTTTGAGTTTTAATGAGGAAAATATAGAATATGAATAATGATATCCACTTTCCTACAAAATGCATTCACCAACTGAAGTAATAATGCTTCTTATATCTTTTGAACGAAGTGAGTTCGCCAACGTATTTTAAGGCTGTGCTAAGTAGACACAATGCACAAAACTCATTGACAAAGTGGCTTGGCAGTATCCTGAAGCTATTAAATAGTTACTTTGAGTTGCCTGTTAAACTTTTTGTGTTATATGTTTCACATCACTGATGTATTAACAGTGAATGCTCTAAGCAGTGAGTAGGTTCTTAGCTAGATTATAACAGCGACAATTTTTCTAGTATGTTGGTTGGAATGGTCATTCAAGGATGTCGATGCTGCCGAACATTTTTCTTCCCCCTAATGAGGGCATCACACAGCATGACATCTGTAAGAGATGGTTTCATAAAATTTGTATCAATATATCACTGAGTGAGTATACGCGTTGCTAAAAGATGCCTCACCCTGGTTACGCGAAGAATACCACGTGAAGTATTGGGTCTGCTTGCCTTGAATATGGAGTTGCCAAGTGGTACAACTCGATGAGTGAATCTGGCAGTAGAATAGGAGATTAAAAATGTAACCACTAGTGCTGTCAGTTCAACTCTTACTCGTTGGTCTGAAAGTCAAAAATGAACAACTAAAGAAAGGCTTCCTGTATTTAGTGAACTGGAAACACTGACAACACAATCGAAAGCCGAGGAGACGACTTTTAAAGAAGTCAAATCCATCCCTGGTCTAACTATTTGGAGTTAAAAGGTCTCAAAAGAGACGTAGACTGCGAGATGACAATCATACGAACTGAAATCGGCGGATTCTGTCGTCAGAAATCTGCTCACAGAAGAGGCCTTAAAAGAACATATTATTAAAGCAGTAAGCCTTGGCAGGTAGGTCGGGATGGGACAAATTCAATCTAGTCATGGATTGGTGACTACAGAAAGGACACACTGTAGTCCATATTGTGAAGTTGACGACTCTATCTTAAATCATATCTTCACGTGGAAACTAACTGACTTTTAACTTGTCATTGGAGATTTCTGTGCGTCACACGTCCATTCTTTAGAACTTACAGTCTATTGTTAAATATTATTCAGTGCGCACTTGAACAATTTAAGGCGAAACCAATACACATTGTCTTAGAACATGCACCATCATTGTTAGAACTTGTCTTCACACACCACTATGATAATATAACTGCGAGACTATAATTTATGGATGAACCAATCAGGTATAAGATAACAATTCTTCGGTTTCGGCGCGAAATTCATTCATCAATTTGAAGAAATAGAGTTTTCGCATTTTTGCTGATCTCAGTTCATAATGAAAACCCTAAATATTATTCCTAACCTTAAATGCCAACTGTAAATCGCAACTAGAAGTAATCACACAAGTTTATAACCTTCAGTTGGTCCTAGTTATTAGGCGAACACCCTCAGGGTCACCTTTGCGTTGCTCAAATGTCGTCCATTAATTATAGTCTCACCGATTTAGTTACTAAACAATTACATGATGAATTTCGATAATGCAATGAGAAGACGTAGTTTATCGGAATTATGTGATATATTTGCGCAATACATTTCGAACAATCTGATCACACATATACTTGCTAAGAACATTTATATATGAAAAGTATAGGGTCAACTAGACAGGTTAAGGGTACGTCATAATAAAGGAAAAAATATTGAAGTACACAAAAACAAATGTGAATACCACTCTGGATAATAAATCAGTATTACCAGGGTAGGTTAAGTGTAAGGACAAATTGTTTTTAAACACATAAAGGGGGTTTCAATTTTCGCTTAGCCAAGGCTTCAATAAACCTTAGTATACGTCCTTGAAGGCTTTTGTACAACACAACAAATGCTGATTTGATATCAACCTTATGACCCGTCTCAATCAAATGTTTCGCAATGGATGATGATGTCTGTCTATCCTGTGATCTCATTTCACCATTGGAATTCATCTGATTCTGCAGCCATTTTGGTATATGTTCACCCGCCCTTAATCGCAAATCACGATTGCTCCTCCCTATGTACGTGTTTCCACACATACATGTAAATTTATAGGCATGATGAAAATGTGCGTTTAGCATTAATTAGGAAATAAATTCCAACAGTTACAACTCGTTATTGTTCTCGGGACATAACACTCATGGTCAAGTAGGATGTCAAAAATCAATAGTATTGATGCCAATTTCGTATGCAATATGCCTCTTTCACTCATGTCTGTGACCCGGAATTGATTTGACTTCCTTTTGAAAAATCCTTTTGCAAGTAGGACAGGACGATTACGCCAAATGATTCCACTTATGACTACGAAAGTTATAACAATAAAAAAGAGTCATAACAATTATGAAGAAAAAAGCCAGTTGGAATTCGAACATTATATTTTCCTGAAATCCAGTGGTAGACTGAAACAAAATCACAACATTCGGTAAAATACAGCTTATTGATGACAATCATATGCTAAAACTACTCGATCAATCAAAATAAATAAACAAACACCAGAAACTAGACCTTCGGTATGACTAAGCGAACCCCAGTAACCCAAACATTCCAACCTCGTTAACCTCAGAAATGCGTGATAGACAGCTAATTCCACCAGGTACGGTTGGTGCTGTTGTTTTACACTGAAACCATAGCTTTAAAGTGATGAAAACAACAGGGTTGTTTGCAGCTGCCCGAAGATTTTCATATGAGTTTTGGGAGCAAAAATAGTCAGGATCTTTGTTTTCTCAGTATCGGGAATATCCCTTTCGTGAAAAGGTACTTCATGGTTCTCTAGATAGTCTTTGATTACTTCGTAAGTGCACTAGATATAGCAAAGTTGTACAGATCTACAAACTAGTCTGATAAATTCCATAGCTCTGAAGATGCCACAGGTATTTGGAGTTTGACAACTCTTTAGCCAATAACACCCTCTATTATGAATCGTACCCCCCCCAAGTGTAATCAAAAGACAGAAGAGAGGAGGTTCGAAGATATATTTGATAGGCCATCAATATATAGAGGATCGTCTGGTCTAATCTGGCTAGCGATTGCAGATGTTGAGCACGGCGTTCCCACTCATGATCCGGTGCGGATGCATGACCGAACGGCTTTACCTAGTTCAGTCCGTTAAATCTATTGTGGCCAGCATCCAATGTCGAAAACTTACAGAGCTATTTATTCTAAGGATTTATTTATCACTACAGATCACCCCTCCTAGTAGGGTAGTGATGACCCTAAGATGTGGCCAGCCAGAAGTTTAAACCCACCGAGTTTGTCGTTGGTAAACAATCTGCTGATAGCTTGCTAAGTATAGCAGCGTCTGGTCATCATTCCTTACTATGAGGGACCATGAAGTACAATGTAGTAAAAAAAGTACAATAAAAATTTCGGTTCCTCGTAAACTCCATCGTTCTTTTTATCGTCTTTTCCAGCCGTCCGTCGAAATAAATTCGTACGCACGTAAAAACACAAAGCGGGTGAGAGTAAAACTCGTGCACACGTAATAGCTTAAAAAGTGATTTCTATAATATGGTTTTTTCGCTTGGCTTTTTTTAAATAGAAGTGTAAATACAAAGGCATATTAAAATTGGGTTCTTCTTCCAAAACGCTTTGTTTTAAGTTCATTTTCAGATACTCCCTAAGTATTATCGCGTGTGTTTGGCTGTCGGTTGACGTATTATGAGTGTGGGGGTCGTGTCGTTCGATTGCGCGGAAGGAAACTCGATGTGAATAGGATTTCCTTCTAAATACGCTGCTTCGAGGCGATCAATGTTGATGCTATCGTTGGTTCCGTTCTTATTGACTATATAGTACTTGGGTTCGCTTTGAACAACTTTGAAGGGTCCTTCGTATGCTGATTCAATAAGTCGTCGATGTGAGTTTCGACGAACGAAGGCGTGTGTACTATATCGCAAGTCAGGCTGAACGAAAACATTAGTTGATTGCAGTCGAGTGGAAACAAGTTTAACCGAACGAATTGTGTTTTTAAGCTTGTTCGTTTAGGAGGTTATACCCATGTTCATTGAAGAAGAGGAAGGATCCACGAATTCTCCAGGAATTCGAAGTGTCGTTCCATAAACGAGTTGAGCCACAGTGTATCCAATGTCAGCTTTCACTACATTGCGAATACCTAATAAGATGAGTGGAAGAGCGTTAGTCCACTGAGAAATGTTTGCGGCTGATATTGAAGCTTTTAGTTGTCGGTGAAAACGTTTTGCCAACCCCCTTGCTTGTGTTCAGATTCAAACTGACGTCCGCGATCTGTAGTGATGGTCGAAGGGCAGCCGAAGTTTTCTGCTCACCGTCCGACGAAGGCGCGGCCACTGTCTCAGTAGTGATGTCCTTGACGGGCACGGCTTCTGGCCATCGAGTGAAATGGCCTACGCAGGTTAAGAGATAGGAGAATCCATTTGAATCTGGTAAAAATCTCACCAAATTCAGATGATTATGGTCGAAACGAGCATAGGAAAATGTAAATGAGGCTAAGGGACATTTGTTGTATCTAAGAACCTTAAATTTTTGGAAGCTTACACAGGAGCGTATCAAGTCCCTCAATTTTTTATTCATACCAGGCTAGCAAAACTGTTCTGCTATAAGCTTGATGGTTGCACGAACACCTGGATGAGAAAATTTATGCAACATATTAAAGACGTTTCGTCGATAATGTTTCGGCACGATTGGACGATCCGTACATACAGATGTGTCTCATAATAAGGTTTCCTTTCCTGAACCATATGTTCAATGTGCAGTTTAATGGTTGTTGAAAATAACTCGTGCTGAAGATCAGTGTCTTCCTTTTGAAGCTGGGCGAGCTTCAGAGGGTCGACACCTTGGAAATTGTTCAAGGAAGTTATACGAGACAAGGCATCTGCGACTGCATTATTTGCTCCAGAAATGTGTCGTATACCTGAAGTAAACTGCGAAATGTAGTCCGGTTGTCGAAACTAACGTGGTGAGTACTTA